ATAAAAAATACTTTATAATTAACTATATTTTACTTAGTATATTCTACTAAGTAAGATATAGTATATTATTCTTATTAATAATATAATAATAGTACTTATTTGCAAAGTATATAGTAGAGAGAGAGTTATAGAATATTTATTTGTTTTATTTGTACTATACATCTTTTTATACTAAATTAATTCTAAACTATTCTAGAAATAATTTACTTAGAAATAGTACCTAACTATCTACTAGAACTACTACTCTTAGAGGAAGTAGGTAAACGCTTAGAAGAAAAGTACAAGAAGAACTAGCAAGATTTGCACTTGTTCTCTTTATTCTAGAAGAAGGTATAATCTAAATCTATTAGAAATAATCCTAAATTGTTCTAGAAATAATCTAAATAAAACTTACCTTAAACATAGTCTATATCTAGGCTATTAATGTTGCACGCCTAGCAGAAGAGCTTATCTTTAGGCTAATTATTATAGTAGTCTCTAACTATGTTAGTTATAGTAGTAAAGTTAAGCTGTAAAAGTTAGAAACAATTTAAAAACGTTTAAGAAATAATTTACCTATTCTCTCTCTAAATTATTAACCTAGACAATGTCCTAGAGAGGGTGTTTCTAGTCTTTCTAGTCTTTCTTCTCTTCCTTATTATCTAGTGCAGCAGCAAAGTTCTTAAAATTGTTATAGTCTAAATTATTTGCTAATTAATCTAACTTATAGTCTAAATTATTTAATAAATAATCTAACTTAGATTTGTTATTAGATCTCTACTAGGCGGGAGCCTGTATAGGCGTAGAGTTAGCGGGAAGAGCAGAAGAGTTAGCAGAGAGAATAGCGGGAAGGCTAGTAATAGCGTTGTAAGTAGCTATAATCTAAACATAGAAACCTAGGTAGAATTAATTAAGAATTAATTAAGAAATAATTTAAATAAACTTACGCATCTTAGCTTAGATCTAGGCGTTAGTAGAATTTCTAACTTGCCTAGCAAACGCTATTCTTAGCTAGTAAGCTTAGCGCAGATAGTTTCTAAGCGCAGCGCAACTTATGTACTTTTACTAGAAGAAATATTAGAAACAATTAAGAAATAATCTAGAAACAATTTATACTCTATAAAGAATTCTGCCTTAGATCCTAATATAGTAGTATAGCTAACCTATATAGACAATAGGTTTACTCTGCGCGTTAGTAGAAAAAGGTAGGCACCTAAATAGGTGTTAGTTAAGCTAGAGAAATTGCTTGTAAGCAGGCTAAATTTATTAGAATTATTTGTAGATTAATCTAGAAATAGTTTATACGTTTTCTTAGAGTACACTCTAGATTTAGTAGGCTATTATAGGTAGCGTAGTTTAGTAGAGAGGTTTAGTAGAGTTGTGTTATTATTGTTTAGGTAGGATTGTTTCTAAAATAATCTGTAATTAATCTGCTAAGGCGCTACCTTAGCGTGCGCATTAACTGCGCACAGATGCCTTAGCATGCTATGTCTTAGCGCGCCCTTAGTTAGATGGCCTGCGTCCTGGGCACGCGTCTTCGCTCCACTTCAACGTCATTTCTCGTCACGTCTCTTGCCTTCGTACGATCCACACTGTGATCGCGTCCTTTTCTTCCGCGTACACTAATTTCCGATCCTCGAGCATGAGTTAGTGCAAGCCACCTGGGCAAAGCTGTACCACGTTTGTCTGCTACAGGCTCGTAAGGGTTGAAACGACGGCTATCGCATTGCCAGTAATCCAAGGCCACAGCCTTTGACACCGGACATACAGTTCATCCGTAAGCCCTTTCGCTTGTCTTCAAACCTTGCATAGATCGAGTAGGCGCGCGGTCCTCTGTATGCAAACATTAGGAGGGTTGCCAACTGAGAGACAAATACGGTGGTAACAAACTGATCGGACAGCGCGTGGCTGTGATATGGCCGTCGAGACACCAGCAGAAGAGCTAACGTGTTACTCAGCCTAGTCTCACATTACCCGTCCACGCGCCTCCACTCTTAGTGTTATGATCTCGACGTCGACATACTGGCTATCCTACTCCCGCGCGACCGCACTTGCACCTACGCTCTCAGCATGGCTCGCTTTGCCGACCTTCCTACTGAGCTCGAGCTCCAAATCGCGTCACATCTCTCCTCCAAAGATCTCGCCTCCTATGCGCGCATCGGCAAAGTCCAAGCCAAGGTCGCACGCGAGCATCTCTACTCCGCACCGACGATCGAACAACCAATGAGGGGCATCGGCTAATGATGCTGCTACGCACATTGTTCGCCCGCCCTGAGCTCCTCAAAAGCATACACTCGATATCGCTCGCTGTCGTGAACTGTACTATGCCTTTTGACATCGGTTCGACAGCAGGCGAGGCCGAAGCCAAACGTATCGATTGGGACACGACTCGCAATGCCCGTTATATTGAGGTCGATAGGATTGTCGACAGCCCTTATTGTTTGGAATACAAGGACGTGTATGAGCAACTCGTCTTCCGCCTCAAAAAAGTCATGGGCAATCATGACTCCGAGCGGTATTGGTTTTCGCATATTGTGCAATGGCGCTCTGCAGCTCTCTACGGTGGATTACTCCGAATCCTGCCTAATCTAGGGCGATTGGAGCTTGCATGCTACACCAAGCTACATGAAGGAATATACCTGCCTACAGATGAGAGAGATCCAAAGTTTTCGCAAAGGCTCTTTGCTTCCACGCCGTGGCGCACAGGCTCGGTGCGTTTCCCATTGTTGAGCGAGCTACATGTCAAGTGCGGACTCTTGATCAATAGCACTCATCTGTTACCCAACCTGAGGACCTTGAGAGCTGGTGAGCTCGCCGATGTCCCCCAACATAACGTTCCGTCCCAAGTACGCTTACACCATTTATCTGCTTGCATTTCCCTGTGGCGAAGAAAAGATCCGTGTTGGGCTACGCCTCAAATATATCACCTTGATGGTGGTGCCATGTTAGAAGTACAAAACATCAATTTACGCTTCCGGACACTGGCCGTCAGCAGTATTGAAGGTCCCTTCCGATACGGCCCTATCCGTTCTCTTGCTCAGATATTGGAACGTCTACATGTGTCTAAATCAGCTTTAGAGACGCTATCCGTAAAACCCATCGACCATAGCGAACTCCTACACTGTCGGTTTCCAGTTAATCCTGATGGGTTGATATCGGACTTCAGCATGTTCACCCGCCTACGAGAGCTTATTTTGCCCTTTCGACCATCTACAGATACTTTGGAGGATAAACTACCTCCAAGTCTGGAAAAGCTTAGTCTGCTGTGCACCAGAGCAGTTTCTCCAACCTCGGTCGAACATACCCTTCAACACCGGCTCAAGTACGGCAGCTTCTCGCGTCTCGATCTTTTCCTCTTGTCTGAGGCCCACGTGAACATCAATCACAAAGCCTGGGGTACGTTCAAGAAAGCTGGTGTGCCTGTGTATATCTGGGTGCGGCAGTCTGTGCTTCTGTGTGAAATGCCTGTGTAGGGTAGGAGGGCTTGGGGAACGGCATTGGCATTTCCGGATGAATCAACAGAAAACTAGGCAGATTGTATGAGGAGCGATCATATTGATGCAAAGCCGGACATGGCTGTGGGACCATGGCGGACGCCAAGAGACTAAGAGAGTAAACGCGTCTTCACGTGATCTGGGGCTGCTCTCCCTCTGGGCAGCACCTTCCAAGCCTGGGCCACACCACTCAGCAAACACTCCGACTCAGTGAGTGTCAACATATTCTGAGTCTCCGCGTCTTCCAACACCGCCATCATCGCAGCTCGCGGTTATTGCACGGCAGACTGCAGTGCCTCCAGCCAAGTCCCTGGTTGCGCTCTTCCACCTCCGGGTCACGACTAGCGCTCGAGAGTTTTCGTGTTACGACTTTCTCTCGCTATCATCTAGCTTTTAGGCAGCCCGGGTCCCACTTCAACGCCTACCTACTCACGAAACCCGTCGAGCTGGACGGCGCCTACTCCAACACATTTTCGCACAATCCGATACCACAGGCTTTGCCGTCAACATGTCGCTCTCCAGCTCCGCTGCTGTCTGCCAAGCTACTCCAGGTGACAAGCCGTTCAACTTCGTCGCTCTTCCCCTCGAAGTCAAGGAGCTTATATACAAGCACGCCCTGTTCGCTGGCGGCCATTTTAAGTACAAACTCTACGTTCACTCTAGAAACTTTGCCAATAGCGCACTTCAGAACTCTTTCCCAGCGATTTGTTTCACCAACAAGCTCGAGCGCATCATCGCTTCACGACTCTACCTGCGATACCAAACAATCTCCTAGGACGAAAGTGACTCACCAGTTCTTGAAGCTTTCCTATCACAGTTCGGACAAGCCAATGAGGGACTAGGGTGGTTGAAGCATGTTGAAATTGCCTGTTACGGAAACTTCTGTGATTTTAGCAAAGCTGTACCTTTGATCAAGGTGTGCACCGCCCTAAAGACAGTCATGTTCCTCATACTACCAGGAGATCTTTACAAATGGGATGAAGCCAAATTGGAAGGTAGACCTAGCACCGGTACTGAGATCTTCGAGCGCCTGCGTCTACATGGCTTAGCCGACTGTGGTCATTTGACCAAGGTTCGATTCTACGTATTCGAGGGTCGTCGTGCGGGAGTCGGGGGCTTGAAGGAGTTTATCCAGGACTTTTCATGCGACTTTCTGGCGCTGCACGGATCAACAGCTTTCAAAAAACTCGATATCGGTATCAGTGATGAGTGTGGTCTGATGTGGGTGTTGGAGCCGCAGGTATGAGAGAAGATGTACAGACATGGCGCGGTCAAGCAATTATCAGCGGGTCTTTTGCTGCATGCAATTATTACTTCACAAGAGCAGTGGGTGGGTGTAATAGTGAGCGCTGGGGTATACATTGATGTGCGTCACAATACAACCAACGCAGATGTGAGTTATTGAGGTCGACGCGAAGCTGGGTGAAGGTGAAGGCGAGGTACAATAAGATACCTCTCTTTTGTCGGCGCGATTCAGTACCCACCAGTGTGTAGGCCCTTGATTGCGAGTAATACGATGTTTAGGGTCTGAGCTTGAAGACAAATTATGTATCACTAGGAATCTCATTTCATCTTTCCTAGTGGCGAGTGCTTACACACTCTGCAGTGCATGCCCGTGTCGATTTGACAGTCATATGAAAGAACGCCTGGGGGGCTAAGGCTGAGAAAGACTAAGCTCGATACGCCACCTACTCGCCGTGCAGCGTGTCGAAGTAGCAGTCGACAGACTTGATCTTGTTCTGTCCATTGCCGTTAGTTTATATGTCCTTGTCAAAAGGGGCTAAATATCTAGTGCACTCACATCCAATCCGATAGTAGCAAGATTTGCAATGGATTCGCGGGCCGAGTACGACGGGTTACCTTGGCATTTGGAATTCCTAGCTTGGGTCAGCCTTGTATCACTTGTGAGCCTGCTTGATGAGACCTACTCGTATAATTTGCAGGTAAAAGGCCTGTCCCTATTGTTATAGCCGTCGGGACACGGAGTTAAAATGACCGAGGAAGCCCAAGGGTTGTCCCTACAATGTATCAGCAAATGTACATGGTGGAGTCTGGTGCGCTTACTCCCTGATTACCCTACAGCCACTATCGCCCTGGTGGCAGGAGTAGGCGACACTTCTGCTACCTTGGTAATCGGGTTGTTCAAATAGGGCAAGCTAAATAGCTATCAGCGAATTGATCAATAGGACGACGATGCGCCATACCAAGTGCGGATCTTCGGCGCTGGTGTCTGCGGTACCGATGTCTGCGGTGCTGGTGTCGGAGTGGCGCTCAGAACGAGCATCGACTCCAGCGACGTGAGCATCCTTATCCTGGAAGCACTGCATGGACCTAATCGTCTCCTGTTCATCATGGTCAGTAAAGGAACGCTTCTTTCACGACGTCCAGACTTATTGGTACTCACATCGAATCTCGGCGTCGACTTTGTGAGATCGTCGATAGACGTGCGCGTCAAAAGAAACCTAGAAGTATAGTCGCAGGTCGGTGTGCTAGCTAACGTTACTCTCGTACCGCAGATGAGCTTGCTGGATAAGACCTACGAGAAGAAGAAACATGCGAATGTCTTGTTCCCAGTTGGTGAGCCGTGGGGGCATGTTTGTAGAGTGAGCGAAGAAGCCCATGGCTCAGAGCTTGAATATGTTAGTCATGGTGAAGTGGACAGACTCGGTGCACTCACGCGCCGTCTGCGAGGCAACCATTCATTCCTGTAGCGCATAGGTAGGCTTTAGCTCGCCTGCCTTGCTTGTAAGGTCCTTCGTAGAGGTGTACCTAGAGGGCAGTTAGAGAAGATAAGTAAGAGGTAGTGGTGTGCACGTACAGCAGCCGGAAAAGGGTTAATGTCTGCAGTGCTGACGTCGGTAGCCTCGGAGATGCCGTCGAGCTTGACGCGGGACGCGCTAGCGAAGATATCCTGAGGCATGATCACGTCGCTGCCGTCGATGACCATAGGCTCATCGCCGACCTCGATCACGGTGCCATCGGTCTTTTGCAAAGTGAAGCCTGCTGCAACCGAAAGCAGCGTCAGAAAGAGGATGAGGAGACGCATAGCGGGCGAGAGATTACTGTAGGGGGACGAAGTGATGAGTCGAATTGGGAAGGAGTTGATTTGACTTGTTGGTGGAGGAAGAAGTAAGAGGTAAGGATTGCAGCGGGAGGGCAGGCTTATGTGTTGGGAAGAGTAAGTAAAGGCAGGCTAATTCCAGAGCCAGCAAGTGAGTGCCCGTTTGCCAACATTCCGATCTTTAGTGAAGCCGAGGCCTATGTCCGACTTCTGTGTCACGTATGAGAAGTCAGTCGATTGCACGTGCTTTCGCGCAAACGACGCCGCGAGAGAGCTGGTTAATAACACATGTTGGCCTTTCGCTTTCACTTATCAGTGATTGTTGTAGAGGCTCATGATATAGGGCACTAAATCAATGTACTCATTTGAGGTTAGGAAACGCTGAGGCAAGCCTCCGCTAGCCCTCCCAGGTACTCCCTCAGATGTTCGTGACACCCAGCTTTTCTTCCCTTTGGCCTACTATGGCGAAGCTGAAGGAATCTAAACTGCATCCTACAAGCGTGTTTCTCTCGTAAACCGAGTCGCATATTGATTCATCATCACCTGGACGGCCCGTCTGTATGCAGCCCTGCCTTCACCTCAAATCCGAAGTCGTACGAAGACGCGACACCTGGTGGTGACCTACCCAAATGTGTGCTCCATGAAGACGTTTGGAGAAACGACACCTGGCGCATCAACCATCAGTTGTGGCGATTCTTAGGTAGTCCGAGTATAGAGAGTGCGTCTGGTCAATGTTGAAGTTCAGAGCATGGCAGCGGGTGCTCATACGACAACCCCGCGGGTGATCGGCGCTAAGGCCTCTGAACTCTCATTGGCCCCCGCTATCGCCCACAGTTAGGCAGCGACTACCACCAGAGGACCCCGAGCCTCGTAGCCTTCGCCCTAGACCTGCCACAATGCATCAATCAAGTGTTGGCAATCTGCTTAACCTACTCCCTCGACCTCCATGGACGCAGCCACTCAATTGGGATCTAGGAATGAACTGGGGTGGCGAAAAACGCGTCTTCTTCCCTGCGTACGTAAGGCACCGTGACGGCAACAATACATCGCAACCATCGCCTACCGGGTTTTCTTCATTCCAAAGGCTTCCCACCGAACTTCAGCTCCGTATCCTCTCATGTTGTTCGATACCAACCCTGTGGCAGCTCATGCGAACGTCATCCATGCTACGCATCGAGTCATCAAAGCTATTTTGGGGACATCCCGATGCCTCTTTCCTCCTGTCTAGTTGTTGGATTAGTAGAGGCGGCTATTCTGGTCATACTTGCGTCGACCTTGCGTTCCTTGCCTACGTACAAAACGTAGAGATTGAGTACAGCTGCCTGCACTACTGGCTTTGGCCGAAACGAGAAGCAAAGGCATCATTCCGCCTAGAAGACGTGCAACAAGAGATTGTGGCTGGATTCTGGTCTACATTGAAGAAGAGATGCCCGGCAGCTAAGAGGGTAGTGTTCAATCAGAATTTGATGCTCTGCGACGTCATGGAGGAAGTCGAGAAGGTGCCACTATGCCTGGAAGTATTGTTACGAGCTTCTCCAAAAGACATCGTCGCTGAGGCAGTCATCATGCAGACGCGAGAGAAAGGTGAAAATTGGAAAACCGACTTGTACAACTATAGGGAGAAGCCGCAGTGGAGAAATGCATACTTTCGGCCTCTTGGAGATGGAGGCTGGGAATATCTTGATGCGACAACGCGTAACAACACAGTACTAGTGCCTGGACGGCTATTTCGCGGTATAGTCGGGCAGTTTGAGAAAGATAGCTTTATTTTGGATAGGATCATCTTTCAAGAACGCGCGTTCTGGCCTCTCGTCATAGAAGCCTTGGACCGACACCACTTCGATGATGGGAAAAGCAATGCTTTCGAATGCCCTAAGCCCGAATGCACAGTGAGATTTACAAAGGCTGGCGAATGGACGATACATGCAGCGACTACGTCACATGGCTACGCTCGAGCTGGGGATGATCTCTTTGATATACTGCCTACAGAACTGCGAGGGGAATTCGAGGACAGACACAATGTTCTGATGATGAAGAGACAGGAATTGAGGGAGGACTACACAAAGATCTTGAAAGATTGGAACGAAGAAGGCGGGGAAAAGAGAAAAAGAATGGAACAAGAATATCTTCAACAACTGGAAAACGATCCAGATTGGGCGACAGACCAGCCGGCGGCAGATCACCGGATCTGGAGGAATTTCACAAGCATGATGGACCTGACCTAGAATGGATAGTGAACAGGATTTGCGACCTGGCTGAGAGTGTATAATGACATTTCAGGGAACTAGTTCGGTCGCGACTCGGTAGTTTCAAAGGGTCGCATGCCGGTAGTCGGAAAATGCAGTGATCCATGCAAACTAGATCGTTTGGAGTCTCACGGGCGCGACATGAGCTTGATCAGGATCAGTAATGCTATCAAATGCCCAATTCGCGGTAGAGCCGGCTCGGTTTGTTCGCTTCCGTACAGTGTCTTCGGTACCAACTCAACCATGAGTTCGAGATCAGGTGCATCGGCAAATTATCAAGAGCTGAACGATCCGGTAATGTGTTTACTCAACAGGCTACGGATATCACCCCACTCCACCTCCGATGGGTCCAGCGCATGCACCGAGAAGCTCAGTCGGACACCGACTTTGCCATCTCGAACTATCGGGCCGTAAAAATTTCTCGCTCCTCATATACGCTACTAGGCGTGTCTATATGCAAATTTTGAGCCTCATGCTACCCACAACGCGTCTCGAAGCACGCGTGGGCCGTTCGGAGCTGTCGGAGCATCCAAAAACGGAAAGCCGACCGCCACTATAACGTGTTTTCGCGTGGCAGACCGTCTGGAAGTCAGCAAGTTGCAGGCCCCACGTGCAAATGTCGGGGCAGGTCGGAGGTGGATCGAGAAATCGATAGTGGAGATTCCGCGGAGGAGTGAATCGTGCACCAGCAGCCGGTGTGCCATGGGGGCGAGGCGCCAGGCGTTCGAGACGGTAGCCGAGCTGACGTCACGGGTCGCATTCTTAACTTCGATAAACAAGGCTAAGACGCGTGGCGCAGCTTGGCGCGGACGATCGGCGCAGCTTGGTCTGCCTTCTTTCGATGCTTAGAGGGCGGGCGGGGGCCTTGTGTTGGAGGCTTAAAAGCCAAGATCAGGTGTTGCGAAACCATCTGTGGTGTGGGGATCGTGCGAAGATAAGACTTGCAATGCAGTCAAGGATGACGTAGCCCACCTTCTACTAATTACTCGGTGTACACCCGACAGTGAGGAGATGGCAAGGCGTCCCGCGCGTCTGTCCAAAGCCAATACTACCTTCGCTTCGGTCGACGCGCACTTAAGTTTCGACCCATATTTAATGCTACATCGCCTGGTCTGAGAGGTCCCGGGGACAGTGTCCAACGGCCTCTAGCACCAACGCGCCATAGCGCTCAAGCCCTGTCAGCCGTGGAAGCTGTAATATGACGTTTCGAGGATTCGAGCGCGTGCCTTGTGATGCGCACAGTGTGCATTGGGCTCTTTGGAGCGTGCACCCGCGCCTCTGGATTCACTGCGCGTCTTATAAGTTGCTTCTTCCGCCTGCGTGACGTCTGGGTTTTCTCACCTTACCCCAGATTCTTCCACCCAGTCCCCGCAACTGGTTCCCGGGTTGACTACTTCCAACCAACAACCCGCCCAAGCGCATTGCTGTCGACAATATGGCGTCTGCAGCAGAGCGTAAGCCCGAAATCCACGACATGGACACCGTCAACAAGAACGAAGCTGGTGACGCTGAGAAGAAGAGCGCTTCCGACGGTGACCTTCATCACACTGAGAACCCGGCCGATCACGCCATCACCGCTGCCGATAAAGAACACTATGAGAAGTACGGCACCTACGATCGCTACGAAATCACCGAGGAAGACTGCTACGACGAGCTCGGGTTTTGCTTTCCAACATGGAAGAAATGGACCATTCTCAGCATCGTCTTCATGGTGCAGGTCAGCATGAACTTTAACACCTCGCTGTACAGCAACGCCGTCGGGGGTATCTCTGAGGAGTTCGGCGTCAGCAAGCAGGCAGCGCGTCTGGGTGCAGCCATCTTCCTCATCACGTACGCGTTCGGCTGTGAGCTTTGGGCTCCCTGGAGTGAAGAGCTAGGACGATGGCCCATCCTCCAGCTCAGTCTCTTCTTTGTCAACATCTGGCAAATTCCCGTGGGCATTGCGCCCAACTTCGGTACCATCCTTGGATTCCGTGCACTCGGCGGTCTCTCTACTGCAGGTGGTTCAGTCACTCTCGCCATGGTCGCGGACATGTGGGAACCGTAAGTACTTCGCGCCTTCATTCGAGTTTCATACTAACAGTGTTAGTGACAACCAACAATACGCCGTCGCATTCATCGTCTTCTCCTCGGTCGGCGGATCGGTCCTCGGACCCATCGTGGGTGGCTTCGTCGAACAATTCCTCGCCTGGAGGTGGAACATCTGGATTCAGTTGATCTTCGGTGGAGCCGTCCAAATCGCCCACGCCATCTTCGTCCCCGAAACCCGTACCACCGTCCTCATGGACCGGATCGCTAAGAAGCGCCGCACAGAAGGCGAGAAGAACGGCAAGCCCAACAACATCTGGGGACCCAACGAGCTCAAGACGTTCAAGGAACGTTTCAGTGTCCACGAGATTCTCGTTACCTGGGTCCGTCCCTTCCGCATGTTCGTCACGGAACCCATCGTGCTCGTTCTCTCCCTGCTATCCGGTTTCTCCGATGCTATCATCTTCATGTTTCTGCAGTCATACGCACTCGTATACGAGCAATGGAACTTCTCCGCCTACGCTATTGGACTGACCTTCATCGCTATCGGTATTGGCTACTTCATCGCATGGTTCTCGTTCTTCCCAGCTATCAAGCGGAACGAGCGCCTCCGTCGCGACCACCCCGATGATGAGAGGTCTCAATACGAGGCGCGTCTTTGGTGGTTGCTGTACACCGCGCCATGCCTTCCCATCGGTCTTATCATCTTCGCTTGGACAAGCACTGGCCCACCAATCCACTGGATTGGATCTCTGATTGGATCAGCAATCATTGGTATCGCCAACTACGCCATTTACATGGCAACCATCGACTACATGATCTGCGCGTACGGTCCTTACTCAGCTTCCGCGACTGGTGGCAACGGTTGGGCTCGTGACTTCCTCGCTGGTGTTCTTACACTCCCCGCCACGCCTTTCTTCTCCAATATTGGCGGAGAAAACCATCTCGCGTACGCGTCCACGATCCTCTTCGCTATATCTCTTCTTCTCGTAGTTTCGGTCTACGTCATCTACTGGAAGGGTCCTGAACTCAGGAAGCGCAGTCCCTTCGCACAGCAACTTAGTGCTGCTCGTGACGAGACTGGTGGCCGTCGCGTCAGCAGCCTTCCAGGCATGTACGGTTCTCGCGCAAACTCGTTCGCGCAGCAGGGCGGCTCGATGCCCAACTCTCGCAGGGGTAGTGTGGTGCGCGGTGTTCCGGGTGGCGAGAACAGGTACGCGATGCACCGCAGGCAGAGTGCGCGCAGCGCCGGAGGTGCTTGAGCGTCGCTTGTGTTTCTTAGTAATACAGACGATACGGCATAATGATATCTTAATGTTCATAAATTGATTATGTGTTGCTCTCGTGAAGATGTTGGTGACGGATGGCGATCCCAAGCCTTGTGATCTGTGCTGGCTCTTACATAATCGAATTTGCCTTGCTGTTGCCGTTGTTGCGCGACTTCCTCTCGAGACACCACGAACACTAAAATCCTCGTTATTTTTATACCAATACAATGACGCGACCGCTGGTGGGATAGCACGAGCAATCTTATGACGAAGAGCGCATGTGCCTTCATACTGCGGACGCCACCAAAGAACATCTCGCCGACCCAGCGGCCTAGCGAGGTTTGCGCCGAAAGCATTTCGCCCACACGCGAAATAACGGGACTGTATCCACCAGGTCCAACCAATACCTCTAAGAGACAAAGATAAGTTTGTCTTATCGCCATCGTGTTATTATACAACCGCATTCGGGACTGTCTTTGGTGTTATCTCCTCCGGGTTGACAGGGGTGTCCATATCATTTCCATGTGTGTGTGTACTCTCTTCGAGCCTGCTCTTTCTCGAGAAGAAGCGCAAGATCTTCTTCTCGACATCAATACCCTTAGCCTGCCAGGTTATTGCTTCCTCGAACTCATCGAACTTCACGCCAGCTTCTTTCGCGCGTTTACGGATCCCACGAGTTCGGAACAGCCAGACCCAGTGTGAGACGACCATACTCATCTCGATGGCACAGCTAAGCATCGTTAGTCTTATTCACTGATAACATGATTACCACAATACATACCATAATGCGTACATGGTCCCGAAGAGCACGTCAAACTCGTTCTGGGCTACGAGAGCCATCAGCGAGAAGAACGCGCCGTTCCAATCGATGGCCAAGAAGATGAAGTCTATACCTACGACACGGCCCCGTCTCTTGAGTAGCTCAAATGGGATAGGTATGTAGCCTGAGATGAGAGTGAGAAAGGCGACGATGCCGATCAATAGGACTGGCCACTCCAACCCGTCGGCGTATGGCTGTCGGATAGCATAAACAAGACCAACTTCTACCCCTGCGAATAAGACGAGAAGAGCGAAGAGCAGAAGGGATGCAGTCCAGGTTCGCCATTTCCTAATCCTGGTTAGCCGTCCGATCTTGCCAGGCAATGTCGTTTCATCTCGATGGACTCACCGGCTGTAAATAAGACACTGCGCCCAACTAACACCGCACAACACACAGAAGCACTGCGGCTGGACGATAAGCGGAATGTTGAATTGCTGCGCGATGGCGTACACTCCGAAGGGCACCCCACTAATTGACCATAGCAGCATCATGGACTCAGGCAGTCCATCTGTTTTCTTGGTTCTCCAGTTCCGGTATATTTGCGGTAGTAATTGGACGCACCAGAATACTGTTCCAATGGTCCCGAGTACGTTCGCAGCTAAAGGTATTGACGTCTGTGGCGCCATTGCACGTCGGCGGAATGAATTCGAGAATGAACAACACTGAGTATGATACCAAGGGTTGTGGAGTTGGAAGCTCTATCGCAACTCAGGTAAGAGATATTAGTGTGTCCTAAGCATCGGTGGCGAACTAGAAAGTGAAATTGCTGGCCCGCTATCTAGCTCATATGCCGACCAGTGAGAGCGCGGTGCAACAGCGGCTCAACCACGAAATCGCAACTTGGGAAACCCGTTATCCTTTCACTCTTTCTCCGCTTCCTAGATGGGCGAAGATTAAGCCAATCCTACTGGTGTATCCTGCGTTCGCTTGGTCCCGTGCTGCGGGTAGCTAGGATCACGCTATACGAGTCTAGAAGTTCGATAGCAAGTGGTGCATAAGCTTTCCCCACTCTTTTCTACGGATGCCGATCCGGGTTGTAGGCCCTCGGTATGCTGTCCGAGTCTTTTTGTCTGAGATGCTTCTTTCAGGATTCGCGCGCGGGCTTCAAGTCTTCACGTGAGGGACTTTGAGTGTGCATATTGGTCGGGTTAGTAAATCGATAACGGTGGTTTACCAGGGTTGTTCGTCGGAATGGTCGTTCCCATACTCAACCATGGTCTACAATACTTCTAGTTCGAGAGGAATATGTTATCCGATCCATCTTTCGTGTCTCTCGGGCTCTTTGTCAACTCCTTAGCTGTCTATTCATTTCCATTAGAACTGTCACTACTGTCGTCAATTCTGTTTTCTAACGATACTCTACCCCAATTGACTTGGGAAGCTTTAGACAAGTACCACAGTGAGTGGTATTAATGCCTGTGAGCTCTATGAAGAATGTATGACGGAATCGTTAATGCGTTAAGAAGACTGTAGATCCGAAAGAAAGATGGGTATAAGGAAGTAGCCGCATCGCTATTGCGTTATGCACGTAGTGAATATGCGGGTGCATACACGGCTGCCTATGGCTACCACTTCGCATATATATTCCGTGCTCTATTGACTGCATAACACAGAAGATCGTCCTATCAACCTACAACAAACCCTTCAACACATACCGCGTACCTTTCGCAAACTCACTACCTTTCGCAAACTCACTATGGCCGCCGCAACCCAGCCCGATGGCTTCTTGACTCTTCCCGCCGAGCTCCAAGTCAAGGTCTACAAATACGTTCTTGCCGCCGCTCCGAAAGCACCTGGCCCAGGTAATCTCGCACCATATGTCGGTCTCCTTCTGTCGTGCAAGAAGGTTGCCTCCGACTTCGAGTACGAATGGGCTAAATACTACAACGCGCGTCTCCAACATATCGTCAAGAACACTTGCTTTCGCCCATTGCCTGTCAAACAGTATGGGCATGCGGCGCATCTTCGTATCTTAGTCACACAGCCGGGGCCGGGCCCAGGGCCATACATTTACGATGTACGAGCACCACCAGACTTCATGGAAATGACGCGGTTCTACACCCTGAGGCTATCCTACCCAGCTCGCGATCTTACAGTAGATCAATTTCTCTCCTTAGGTCAAGCACTTCAACTCCAGGCCCTGCAGTCAGGAGTCGCATCAAGCGGAGTCTTCCCTCGGGTTGACTTCAGGGCGCAGGAAATACACTGTTCTTCTAAACCGATTTTTGAACGCCAACACTCCCAGAGTAGCCAGCATGGAAGCCAGAGCGATCATGTTCGGCGTCTGACCCTCGAATCCATACCAGCTGAGATTCGGGATCAGATTTTGTACCATGTGCTATCCGAGGGTCCGACTATGGAACAGATTTGCGATTTGTTGGATGTGTTCAATAACTCGCCTATGATCCAGGGCCATATTATGTACCGCGCCTTCGGAGACCGTTGGTTCAGGTTTCGGTGAATATAGCAAGCGGGGCACATGGAGGAGGTTTTGAAGGTGTCGATGATCCAGAAGCAAACGAGCCACGTAATGAGAGCACTGATGAGATCTTGATGTATGTAGCAGGGTCCAGGAAGGGAAAGCATCCAAACTCCAGTTTTCAATAGTTCGTTCATGAAGCCATCACCAAAATCGACAGTGTGTTAGTGAATCTTTTGTACTCGGCCTGGTGTAGCTTCCGTTGACGTCTTCTCATTTTGCGTGCCAAGTCGTACTAGCGTATCAGCAGATGTCCTCATCGTGTCTTCCGGGTCGAAAATCTCCTGCGCTACGTTGCGCCATTGTTTGAGCGAGATCTATGTATAGTGTGGGGATATCTGTCGACGGAATTGAGCGGAGCCCTGTCAGCCCATTTGGGTGATTATGTAAGACGAGCTAAGTGAGCGGCGCCGATCTTCATACGTCACAACCCCCTCACATCAGTCACCGCCAACTCCATCAGCACTACGTCGGGCATTTTTTTCGTGAATTTACCTATTTCCAGCTAAATCGCAGTCAGAGCTATCTGCCTTAACAATTTTCCGATACCGTGATGTACGGCAACGTCTTTCTCACGTAATGACGATGAAGCTAGAAATATGGCAAGTGCGCTCGGCCGGAGGCACTACCACTGAAAACCACCGAGATCCGCTACCCTAAACCACGCGGTGACCAGAGGGTCATAACGATCGCGATCAGCACTCATCTTGCAGCAAAGACATCGTTGGCTGCTGTTGAGGAGAAGCAAACCAAAGCCACCATCACATCTCATTCGCAACTCGCCCAATCAGCATATGCGGCCCAAGATCCCGACAGCCATCCAAGACACGATCGACGTCATTATAGACCGTTGTTCTGCTCGAGGCATCTCAAGCGATCCAATTCCGTTGTAAGAAGTGTTCGCATCGAGGTGTATCGTGATGTGCAGAGCTCAGGTGTCATTCCGATGGAACGCCTATCATGCACGCGCGTCGATGGCCTCTTGTCGTTACCGGATCTTTACATCCTGAACTTTGTGGGGTAGCGCCATCGGCTCCGCGATCCCCCAATAGTGCAAGCCACGGGCCGCTTCAAACAACGAAATTTTCTTAACAGCCTTGGTAGGCTCTACCTCATATCTCGCTATGCATCCCACGCCATCCGCAACGAATGCCTCCTAGGAATCCCCATGGGCGAAGAGATCGCTCCACCCCAAGATTTCGGTGCTTGGGGTCCGTTTGTTCGCGACAACTATCGCCCTATACGTGTGACCCGCGCGGACATAGCTGTAGCGGCTGCAGCATTCGGGTTGACCAACTTCTTCGCCATAACCGCAGCCTTCATCGCCATTAGGCAGACGAAAGCATGTCGGCGCCCGAGGACCAGTGTCTATATCTGGATGGTTTGGCTGGAAATCGCGGCTTCGGTAGCTCTCGCCATCGATTGCCTGTTGTATTTGTTGAGGATTATAGAACCTAGCTTTTACTTCTTCTTCTCAGTCCGCAAGTATACCGTGGCCTTGGCATCTGTACTTGGCTGACATCAGCAGTGCTTTGCTGGGTTTTTCAGATTCAGTTACTGCCTCAAATTATCATCAATCGCATTCGTATCATCCTTGGGGATCGGGTCAAAGGCCGGCGCCTCGTCGCAGGCGCCGCGATCTATGTGACCTTGATCAATATCAGCGTGTTCATTATCTGGATACCTGCGCGGCTGCAAATAAGCTCAAAGTACGCCTGCAATCCGTTTTTCACGAGTACGCCTACTAATGGACGCAGTTGGGTTCGAATTAACGCTATTTGGGATCGCACCGAGAAAGTATTATTTCTTCTCCTCGATGCATACCTCAATTGGTACTTCATCCGCGTCGTTAATGCGGATCTGGTTAAGAACGGCCTAAGCAAGTACAATCGCCTGGTTCGTTTCAACAAGCGCATCATCGTCGTGTCTCTCCTCTTGGACGTCTTGATCATTGGCGCAATGAGCATCCCCAATGGATTTGTGTGAGTTTGGCTTGTTCAAGTACACCCTCGCTCAACACGACTAACTTTTACAGCTACGCTATGTTCCATCCTCTTGCATACCTGGTCAAGCTCAACATAGAAATGTCAATGGCTCACCTTATCAAGACCATAGCCCTAGGCAGCCCGAACCCTGGTAACGACCCTTCACGACTCTTGACTTTCTCGTCTTCGCCCGGTGAAGACATGTTCAATGCAGATATGTTTGCGGAAGTACCACAGCAACGGCGTTCGCTCATTCGCGGTTTGTTCGGCAGCGACCATATCTCGTTCTCACAAGAAGATGTCCGTATGAGAAAACCGGGAGATTCCTCTACAGGTAGCACATCCGTGCCTGATTATGAATTGCCGTCTTGGAAACCTAGGGCGGAGAAGGAGCCTGATATGATTGGCAGCAATAATCTCAGCTCTGAAGCGAAGAACAACACGAGAACCCACCAAGAGAACTGTCGTCAGGAGAGCAAGGTGCCGAGCAGGACCAGAAGTCTGGATGGAGGACCAAACATCCCCATGCCGGCGGCAGTACATCTTCCTCATCGAGCAAACATGTCGGAAGTTGGTTGAACAATTCTTGCGAATCGCTACATTCATTACCTAGCAACTACTCAGACCTGGGGTACAATCCTCTTGACGCTAGTTCTATGTCTTGTTGCCGACTACGAATCGCAACGAGCCAGCTCAACGCGATCCGGGACCATTGACCTACCAAAGGGATGCGTAATGGGACCAGTGACGCTGCTGATTTGAAGCAAATCGCATTACCTCAGCAGATCGCCATTACATACGCCCCTTGATCGTCATGTAAGAGGTACGAGGCTGCATGCAGGCTTCTCATGTCACACAGCGTCTTCGTGTCGCTTGAGCGCACGATTTCCATATCCAACGGCATAAGAAAGTGGCGCATACACTTATCAATCCTCCGCATGAGTTTGCAGATGCGAGGGTAATGCCGCACAAGAACCGGAGATCAGACATGTTACTGATTGAACGACACACTATTCGGGCCAGGGCTGTTCCGATAGTATTGGGGGGTTGCTTCTACGACATTACCACACCAAACGTGTCACGGGCGGCTGCTTGTCCGTGTGCCCTTAGGAAGATTTCACACAGACTATTGGGATGAAGTGCAACAACGCATACGTGTCGCAATACCCCTGATCTAAACTGTTCTTTCGTTTGGCCGCCAATCATGAATAAATCCATTGGTCAGACTCGCTCGTACAAGCGCTATGGGTATTTACTGCTGTGAAACAAACATGCCGCGAGGGGAAACATGCGCGTGGTATACCTAGCCGATAACCGAAGACTATTGACTGAAAGAGATTGTCTTCCCGCTTGGTACTCTGTGTCATGATGTTGCCTGGTAAGAAATACGCGGCACATAGGTATCACGAGAGGACGAATCAAATGATTGTTTGATATCCAAATATAAGAACCAGCGTCACCCACCTGAACGTGTGACTTCTCAATCGATCAACTTCACCAATGTTCCATACAACAAACCCACTGCGTCTCAATATGAAGTACCATCTGTCTTTCGTGGCTTTCATCGCCATCGGCTTTGCCGCCGCAGAAGGCATTCGGGGCGAAGCTCGCATCGAGAAGAAAAGATCGGATTCAGATCTGTGTATGCACACCCCTTCCATCCAGTCATATAAATCCCAAGACTGACAACCTCAGATTCCGTTCCCGTCCCCGACTCAGTGCACATAGAGTCGTACCCTGCAATGCCACCGCCGGTAGAGCCTACCGACATCAGCTCCGACGACTCGTGCTCCACGGCCCTTACCACAATCACGACCACGCGTACCGTCTCCGTCATCACGCAAATCCCTTCCAGCCTCGCTAGTGTAACCGGTACCGTCGATATGAGCTCCTCCATGCCTTCTCAGTCAGCGCCTTCGACTAGTGAGACCGGCCTCATAGAACTCACTACTTGGCTTGCGCCACAGCCATCGAGCGATACGACGACGGATCTCATTCCCGCCCCGAGCAGTGTCGCTTCTGATGGTGAGGAGAGCAGTGCTGCGCCTCCGTATGCTCCTGCTCCTAGTGATACGACGACGGCGACCGCTATTATTGAACCGACTCCGTCCACGTCGAGTGCTTCGGAGCTGCCGGGGTTTACGGATGCTGCTGGGACGGTCGGGGTGCCGGTGATTGTTGCTGGGGTTCTTGGGTGGGCTGCTTTGGTGCTGTAGGAGTGAGGTAGATGTGGTGACTTGGTATTGGGAGGGGTGAGTAGATAGTAATGACACGTAGAGGTAGAATCCATATTCATTAACAGCTGATTTAAGGAGCGTGTTTGCGATACCGTACTAGCTTTCAGCAATCTGATTGAGCTCTTCAACCCGTCGTATTCTATTCAGAGCCATAGTGCAGGCTACCGAAGTGAAGATGGCAAAGCGACTGATCCTGATGATTACATCCAACATGCGAAACGATATGGGAACGACATCGCTATCTCTTGTCGCCCACAAAACGACTCGAATAGGATTCCATTAGAGCAGTCTATCCCTGCCAGTTGGGATCCTCAGCCTGAAGAGCGCGAGCAACAGCCTCGTCGTCAGCCTCCTCAGGGTTGATGCCAATGCGTGCCTCCTCGCCAGTGAGAGCAATGGAGCCCTGCTGTCTACCAGTCATGCAGCAAGAGTAGAACAAGCTAGCCCACAGGAAGACCCTAAGTACGCAATCTGATCAGTACAGACCCTTGTGGTATCGGAAAGTGATGACCTACCAATTGAAGAAGTTCAACCAAAGCAACAGTCCCTGCCATGTGTTGATCTTGACTCCGCTAATCCACAGTCCCCGCTCTCCAGCAAAGTGTGCATCTCCCTTTGCTGGTGTACTGGCAACATGTCCAATGAAGCCTATGATTGACATGCCAATCGCAGCTGCCATTTTGAAGCACTGGTACTTGATGTACCTCTGCTTGGAGAGGGTACCAGCGACGGCGCGCCTCTGTTCTCGGCGGACGAGGTAGACGGTAGTGATGGAGGTCAAGAGGGGAGTGTAGAGGAGGCTCAAAGTAAAGAACTTGCGCTCCGATGGGATTACGAGGGTGAAGAAGGCGGCGACTACGGCTAGGACTGCGATGCCCATCTGGCAGTTTTGAATGATGCGCAAGCGGGGAGAAGCATCGCGAGGAAGGGCGGAGAAGGGCCCGAAGCTCGTGGGTAGGTTCATGGACGGCATCTTGGGGGAAGGTACGCCGTTACCTTCGTGGTAGCAAGAAATGAGAGGAAGCAGATGTAAGCACACGATGCGGGCCTCGCAGCGTTCTTTATCGTGGGGCTGGCAGCTTCACCGGTTGCGCCTCAGGAACAACGGGATACATACCCCTGTCAGCCACAGACCTCAGAATCCCAAATTTGGCATCTTTCTATACTCAAATTCGCGCGCCCTGGTGGGGAGGTGGTGCGCGATTGGGCCGGGTGCCTGGAACTGGGGCGCGCGATACCGCAAGCGTGTCGCGTAGTTTAGGCGGCCAGCCTGGCGTAGGCGGACGTCGTGTCAAGCTGTCAGCACGCGATCTGGTTTTTGGCGAGCGAGGCTAGGAGCTTGTAGGTGTTGATGTATTGAATATGTAGCCCGGCGGTTGTCAAGATGGTGGTGAGAGATGCAAGCCATTCGCTGTTTGGAAACTGGGTATGTCTTGGGCCGTCAGCACTGCGCTCAAACTCGAATAATGCAATGAAGGTGTCAGCGGGCTGTGTGCCATCGCTATCACTCGAGGTGTTGAATTGGACATCGTCATAAGACTTGCTCGTCGTTCCTACTCTCGTAATATCTGCATTTACTTTTGCGATCTGAGTATGCGTTGTTTCCGCTAACGCGCCATGCTCTTTGCGCCTGAGGCAGTCATCAATACGAGAGATTGGATCATCGGTAGCATTAGCGACCTCAAACACCAGCATCAAAAGCCACCCGTTGTCGCTGGTCGCATGATCAGGTTTCGAGATCGATGAGGGATTCGACCAGATCCTCTCGCACGCGAAGCGGCTCATCTGCGCCAGACATGGCATGAACTGAACTGTCCTCTTCGTCGGGTGGTTGAGCGCATACAGGTACTCGGTAGATGCGAGATCTTGGACGCGTGAAGTCTCGTATAAGGCTAGATAGTTATCCAGGCCATCGCTGCGTTTCTGTGCGCGATAACGGCGCGCGCGTTGGAAGCCCGGGAGGCATACACGCTCGGGCAGGTGCTCGTTGGTCCACCAATCGTTCAGCGCATCTGGATCAACTGTGGCAGAGTCAACAGATCCCCATAGGATGAGGATACCGTTAGTCGTTTGCGACGCGATTGAGGGAGATGCCATCTCATGCCAAGGCGAGTTGGGCGGTGCGGGGTTCACTACGCTGGCCAACGTCTGGTTGCTGATAACACAACTAGCCGCACTTTCAGTTTGATACGAATTGTGCGTATGTCGCAAGTTGGCTCAGAAGACTCGAAGGGATTACTTTGCCCAGGCTGGTGTTATTGCACGCGCGCAGTGCTGCTCTTATCGGACCTTACGGTGATTTGCCAAGTGGGGCAGCTGCCGGTTGTTCCTGCAGTTCTCCGCGCAACGATCATCACACGCTTCTCCTTGCTACCAACCTGCCCTTGTCCAACATGCCCAGGGGGTGACAAAACGCTCTTCACCATGCGGCAAAGTCTGAAAAAGCCGATGATCGGCAATTCGCACGTTCGTCCGATGGTCGCGGCCTGAAACTGGTATTCCCAAGCCTCGGCCGGCGAGAATAACGTCTCAGTTTCTGCCGGTGCCATGAAATTCTCGAAGGCTATGCGCTTCGCCACGGCGCGGCGCATCGCCAGATGACCTGCTCCTCGAATCGTGCAGCAGCTTTTACGGCCGAGGAGAATTATAATCTCGCTCACTTGCATCCGAAAATCGATAACGCTCGCGCCAAAGGGATCGCTGCCTCCTAAGCATACATCGAATCGGTAGAAGACTCTGCCTTTGCAGACAAACTGGAACGAACAATCCCTTGCTCTTGATCCGCGATCTTCGCGCGTGGGAACCGGTGAACAACGTCTGGGAACCATGTCAAGCTCTTGTCAAATTCATCTACCGGCACTATGAGCATGACAACGCACCCTATGCCTGCTACGTTTGCAAGATTAATTGGCTGGATAGCTCCGCTGGATGGCATTGTCTAATTTCCCACAAGATAACCCACACGGCTAACGCAGATCGACACTAGCATTCAGCCTGTCTGCGGCAACTAGCCGAACAAGCCTTGTTACCAAGGTCAGGGGAAAATATTAAGTAGCAATGCGCCTCCTCGTACAGGCGTCTGCACGCCGTCAAGCCTCAGCTCCTCGTATCGTCAGTCGTTTTTGCGACCACACACTCATTTATACCCAATCCAGTCATTCTTTGTACTTGCGCAACTCCGACCGTTATACCCTAATCTAATCCTTGTTTTTTACGAGACCCACCAAGCCCACCATGCGTCAATCCATTGCTATCCTCTCCATCCTGGCAAGCGCGGCTTGTGCTGAAGACGTCGTCAGCTTCTTTTTCCCTGGTGGTACGTCACTCTAGTTCGAGGAACACCGCAGATCAAAGGCTAACAAGCGCAGGCTACGACGGCATCGACCCTGTCGCAACCATCAACACCGCCAACCCCTCCACTACCGAGTTCCACATCGCATGCCCCACGGGCGTCGACGATAGCGAGTGCGGCTGGGGCCCCGGCCTCGATGTCACCATCCTCTCGCAAACGCGCTTCCAAGCCCAAATGTCCACCGACACGATATCCATGAGTCTCGGATGCGACTATAACGAGAAGGCAGTCGAGATGACTTGCACGGTGAACCAGCTCGGTGGCAATGACGATACCGGCGGCAAACCCATCACTGCGACACTCTCCAGTGATGACGTGCAGTTCCTTTCTGCAACCGTCGTTGCTGGAAACAGCCTCTTGACTCCTGCTGCAAGTGCCGCGACCAGCATGACTGCCTCTGCGCAAGCTGGCAGCACTGTTGCTACTACTATGAGGAGTGCTAGCACAGGCGCGATGACACCCAGTGGATCCATCATGCCGACTAGCACCATGGTTTCCTCGGCTTCAGCGTCTACACCTACTGTCAGTGGATCTGGATCGGCGTCCGCGTCTCTGCCCGAGAGCACCGGTGCCGCTTCCAAGTACGGCATTGAGGGCTCGGCGCTACTGGCACTTGCTGGTGCTGCTGCGCTGAACCTCTGGTGAAAGCGCCAGTGAGTAGTTGGTAGATGATAAATAATAAACGTTAACGAAAACCGTCCTTGGCAACAAAGACGCGATTTATCAATTCGTCAGAACCCAACCGCAACCCATGTGTCAATTTGTGGCTTACTAACTACGATCTTCCAGCCATCCCGTTATCTCTAATCATCGAGCTGAAAGTTTTTGTTTGTTGATAGACGACCAGTACTCACTGGTGGACAGCCCGGCTCAGACCGCCACACAGTCCACGCATCCTCCCCAGTCACGGCATCCCGAGTCCGAACATTTTCCAGCACAACCGTAGCAGGCACAGGCCCTTCGATGAACCGATGCAGCTCAACAACACGCAACCTATCGAGGCGATAACCCAAAGCACAACCGCAAATCTTCTCAGCAAACTTGAAAGCCAAGGCGTCAGCTGGCTGAAAGACTATACGTTCCATCGTGTGGGGGGGTCTTTTCCTTGTAAGCAAGTACGCTGAGGAGTTGAAACGAAGCGTGTGTAGACTTTTGAGCCTTCTGCACAAGTACCTGAGCTTTTTAGCATTCTTAAGTTGTAATCTCCCCATTGGGTCGACATTATCGTTGCATTCCCAGAGGATAGTCAGGTCTGTGATAGGCGCGATGTCGCTCTCGAGGAAATTTGCAAATGGGTGCCGCCCGTTGTAGTCCAGGGTCAGATGTGTGAGACTGCTGATGTTGATACATGACCAATCAAGGTTGGTAGACAAAGTCAGACTTTTGATATCCGTCATGCCCAGACCTTGACTCAGTCGACGGATACCAGTTTCTTCCTCTCGCTTTAGAAACCAGCCAAGATTTCCAGATACGTTGTTGGAACTAGGAGCTGCTTTGGCGTAGATCTCGACGGCGCGCAGTTGGGGCAAAGCCGCCAGTATTAAACTAGCGACCATGAGTTCGCTCGGGCAGGAGAGGCTCTGTATCCATCGCGCGTGACCTGCGCCGGATCGCTGGGAGCCATCGGGAAGAGTGTATACGATGTCGGCCATATCTGCTGCTAAACTGCCCGGGGCATGGTCCGACGATTCGCTTAGGTATTGTAATGGCCGTATAGGCACGCCTTGCCATAACCAAATGGCTAGACTGCCCACATTTTTCACGAGATCGGGGCGCTCGATGATTGTACGCAAGAAATGCAGCATCGGTGATGCATAAAAGCCATCGTACGACGGTTCGCGGTCTTGTAATTAGCGCGGTAGCGATACATTTTTGAACAAGGATTCTTGCGCTATGGGTGCAAGCCGCTTGCATGTCAATGCTAGATTCACTAGTGGTTGCGCGCTTTCTCTATGTTTCTGCCGTGTCTCTGCGGCACTTTGAGGAAGTGTAGCTGTCGGCGGATCTTTGGGATGGAGAGGAAGCCGAGTGGGCAAGCCATAGCCAGCGTTTTTGTCGATTTTCACGTCGGGCTCTAGGTAGCTGGCAATCTGGAGCAAGAGCTCATTAGGTAGGTCAAGTAGTGAGGGTTTGCTAGTCATAGACATGCTGGTTTCGGATGCCTAGATATGGTGATCAGGATTCCTTGAGCTTGAGACGTGAACGAAGCATGACCGAATTATAAGCGGTCCATAGAGACCGTAGATATGAAGGTCGTAAAAAGACAAAAGAGGTGTTCATGATTCACAACGCCAATTACAAACAAACACTGTTCAGGATCGTTCTGGTGCATTCGTACTACGTGTCGAGCTATATGAATCTCATTCCCGCACTGTAAGAGTCAACATTCTAATTCAGTCGCCAACTCTTGCTTCGTGCTCCTTCCAGAGTTATGCACTTTGGATACTTCCTCTTGCCCGCGCATTCGCAGTTCGGACGACGAGAGTCGCCACAGTCAGGTATGCAAATATATCTAGAAACCCGAAGCTCATGATGACGCTAAACCCCAACACAGCGTACACCAGCCGTCCGTACACTAGGAACTTTAACATATTCCTGCTCGACCTTGGAAAGTGTGTTTCGTATGTCAAACGAGTAAACGCAAAGCCTGCAATTATGAAGAAAACGGCAGGTGCGACATCCTCGCCAGAACGCGCGCCAGAACGCGAGCGGTCATAGATTGCATGTCCAGTTGCAATGTCGCATATGAGTCGTAATTCAGGGAAGCGTTCCATTAAACCATACGAGTATGTGCCATATGCAACGTGCAAAGCTGGATCGTGGATAGCGACGTACGATGGAGGTGGATTCCCGAATCGCTGATAAGCCAGGCAGAAGACAGCGACAGGAGCGACGATGGCGAATATGGGAAGAGTGATGAATAGAAACGCGCGCGAGGCTTCGTCGTGCACGATAATAATGAATACGTCGAACCATGTCAGTACCTCGCCGTTGTACATTGTGATCTCGCTGCTTGATGCATCCATGTCTTCGACGCCGAACGGGGTCCATCCGAGTTTGCGGTCGTGCCACTGGAACCAGGGTGTTCGGCATACCCTGCCGAGAAGAGCAGTGGGTTTGGTGCGAGGGAGTAGTGGAAGGAGCTTCTGGCGACACAGGAGACATTGTTCTACATCGTTCGTGGCGCGCCGGTAGGTCTCGAAACAGTGCTGGCCAACAATGTGTCCGCATGGTAATCTTATGGGTAGGCATTCGGGTCTTGAGTCACTTCCCTCGTCGTCGTCTTCTTCTTGGCTAAAGTACGCGCGTAGGCATATCCAGCAGTCTTGTTCGATAAGATCCGTGGGATCGACGTAGGTAAACTGGTAGGCGTATCGTGTACTGAACAGAACATGAGAGAGTGACTTTTCCAGGGTGCTCATTGTGGAAAGTAAGATACGAGAGAGTGGTAGAGTATGGGGGCCACAACGAAAACGACAACAAGTTTACCGATATTGACTAACATATTTGCGGAGCCGACCTTCACGCATTTGAGCATGTTGAAGATATGGTCTACAAGACTTCCATTCGATCGGAATCAGTGTTGTAGAGTGGTGATTCAATTGTTGTAGTCGAATGTAGCAAGTCATGGAAGGTATATATCCTTGGAATTTGATCGTCGACTAGTATTATATGGGGATATTGACGCCAGGGTACACTGTTCACGCGAGTGCAGCTTCGTTAGGCGCTCCCAAGTCCTCCAGATCCGGTGAAGGAGCGGTAAATGGCGTGAAATTTGCGCTCATATGAGGTGTACTGTAGCCCACTGATGTTGCAGTCGAGGTAGAGTCAGTGTTATGATCCCGGCGAAGGACGAGTGCAAGGATGTAATTAAAAGGGTTCGCTGACCGCAATTTGCGCACGTGGCCTGAGACGGTACAACTCGGGCGAGAGGTCCGTAGAGGTTAGCAAGTTCCATAGTGAATCGCGTTACGATTGTGCAACTGCCAAGAGCTCTTTCCTCTCTCACCACCAGAAGCCTACCCGATGCAGTTAGCGTGGCTCGAGCGTGGCTCAAGGCCACAAGCAACATTGAACAATCCAGCCTTTTACACAATCAAAACCAACAGATCTGTACTTCCGGAATAGATTCAACTCACAACCCGCCGCCATGTCGCAATCCAGGACCGCGATACTGCGACTTCCCGATGAGCTCCTGGTCAGTATCACTGGCGGAGTCGAAATCGTAGATCTCCACGCTCTCTCGCTCACTTGTCGTCGTATGCGTCCAATAGCACAAGAAGGTCTTATCAAACGAGCGACTGTCGAGCCCGCAAACCTGTGGAAGCTGAACGCGATGTTGCGAATTCACCCAGATCTGGTCGCGTCCTTCACCCATCTTCGTCTCGGACCAATGACGATGGACGTAGCGCGTGTTTCATGCCGAAAATACTACACCGCATGGGAACTCAGCAGGGGTTGCTATGAGCATAGCATGACAGACGCGGAAAGATCGACAGTATGCTTTTTCGAGAGCATGACCGTTCTCTTTACTCTTGCGCATAGTCTGAAGGCTACATCCTTCAATGGGATGTCCGGCGCCATCTTCAATGAAGTCAACGGCGCATATCATGCGTTCGTCCGTCACAACAAGCCTGCAACCATATCAACGCATCAACCAATCCGACAAGCGAGATCGAATCTTCAAGAGCGACTCGAGGAGATCAATGTCGAAGTTAGTCTTGTCAGTGAATATCTGCACAACAGTCTGATCATGGGCCTGGACCCGGTAGACTTTTCAAGTCTCAAGCGGCTGGTGATCCCATACCAATACCTATTCGACAAGCTATGCATCCACGACAGGGTTACGTTCGGACATCGCATTCGTGATCCAGCAACGGCTGAGCTTCGCCACGTACTCCCTTCATCGCTCGAGTCTCTCCGTACGAGCATTAGCCATGAAAATTTATGGCCAGGCACACAGTGGCTCGATAATCTGATAGCTGACGATGTCAACTTTCCAAGATTGCGCGAAGTCCAGCTGCTGTATCCGTATAACATCGTCTCCATGGGCTGGCATTATAGATCCATTCCCTATTCCAACAACAAGGAGTTCCCGGCTGCGCTTCGGAGATGGCGGGCATCGCGTGTTGGCCTAACCACCGCTTTTGGCACTACTAAATTCCGCGAGATAGGATGGGAGGCACCGAGCGGTAACCTGACTACCGCCTGGGATACTAGGAAACTTTACGCGGACGCGAGACAGCCAGAAAGGCATTATACCCCCGGTGATCTCATCCCTGTCATCGAGAAGTGTCTGGCCACTACACATGATCAGCTAGAGAAGGAACCTGAGATGATGGCAGCACTTGGCTATGTGCTAAGGTCTTCTTGATGGCGCCGTCTTCGACAGTATCACGGGGCTGTCTAATAAGTGGGCCTGATATGTGAAGTATTAGTTGGAAGGGGTTATTGCGACAATTCGATATGGAAAGACGACCTGAGTCTGTGAAAATGGGTGACAGCAGACACGTAAGGTGGGCCTTGTCCAACGAAGCTGCGGTGGACTCGAAAGGCAGATCATTCAGCGAAAACAAAAAGACGAATAAAAAAGTTAAGGTTAATGTGAAGATTGTTGCAGTGATGTAGTGCCAGGCGTCGTGTTGGTGTTGTGAAGAAGCGATGGGTTGCTCGCCCCCGTCTGCTGTTGCGCACGCGCCCTGACATCATTACCGGTCCCACTCGCTCGTCGCTCCTGCCTCCCTCTCGCCATCTTCTGCCGCCCCCCACGACATCAAAATCTAGACCTTCTGGCTATTTCAGACGCCTGCCCCCGATACCCGCGCAGACGATCCCATGAAGCCTATTCCAGCTGCCAGCTTCACATATGACGACATGTTCGCGATGCTGCGCAGGGGGCTGTGTGGCCGCACGCGCTTGAGCTGAGGCGCACCCCTTCACGGCCACGATCCGCGACAGGGGCTCAGCAGCGCATTTGTCGCTCTTATGGTCTAGATTCACGTGCGACGCACTCGATATGACGTCGGTCGAAGCTCTGGATATACCAAAATTTCGGACAGAGCTGCAGTGCTCTAACGGGCTCGCATGCTGTAGAGCTGAAGACGGATAGAGGGCGCATCCACGGGTCCAGACCGCCATCGTCGTAACCGCAGGACCTGGGATGATGTCGTTGTGGTGTGTATAACGTCGATCAGGCTCACTTGTGCGCAAGGCATCTACTCTACGGTGTGCTTGTCGTGCCAGAGAGGGGGAGATGAGGGAGGTGGAGAGTTTATGATCTCGATGGGAGAGATCTGGACTCTTCAGACCATGGCTACGTCGCTAACGACGGCGTTGGGTATACTACGCGATGCGCTGACGTCCAGTGTACAAAGGATAAGCATTGTACACTGACTTGGAGAAAGCTATCACCACATCCACAGATACCACATATCCAGACCCACTACACAATCAGCCTCGCACCAGTCTCCTCACTTCCACATGCGCGAACCAAGACACACGTTGTCCAAATCGATCGAACCGAACGAGCAAATTCCCCCGAGCCTACCTCTGAACGCCGACCTTAGTATTACAATGACATTTGAGAGCAAACCCCGGCGCTCTACAAAGAGGTACCGCGCGGTCAAGCGGCCTGACGGTATCATTGTCGAGCATCCTCAGTATCGACCAGCAGGCACGTCGCAGAAGCCCACAAGAAATCCCGAACGGAACTTGGTCTCATTAGATCACGTCGGTACACAAGAAAAGCACACACAAGGAGCAGGTCCGAACAGTATGGAGCACGACCTCATGGGTATAGGCATGGGCATGGACATCTTTGTTCGCGCCGTGCCCGTCGATGCTATGGGCAGTGACAACTACACTAGACTGGGGAGAGGGAGGGGAGGATACAACGAGGTTGCGCGCGAGCTCACACCTGTTCATATCATGGCAAACGGGTGCAAACAGCAGTCCTATGCCGACTTTAATCCGATGGCTCGCTTCCTTAGCGAGCGAGGGCCCTGGAGCCCTCACTCTTCTCGAGAAGATTCAGGAAAAGACCATGGATCCCACTCAGCTGCAGCTTCCTCAGTGCCAGGATCAAAAAGGAAGGTGCTGTGGTGACTGTCGGATCCACCTTCTCGGGCTCTCGTCTATGCAAGCCATTGCAGACGAGGCATATTATCCGGTGGCCGTGTGCTTGGTGTGTCTCGTTTAGACACTTCCAATCGGAAACCGAGTGCCGAACCGATGGCCGATGGTTGTATGAATTGTGGCTGGAATGCCGGGAATCACGACTGCAGGACGGGCCGGGGAATGTATGGACCAGCGGCAAGCGACAACACATCTGCATCTTTGCAGACATACGCCCGTAGTAATACGAGCGAGCATGCCGATTGTGTCGCCACTGAGTATATCAGCCAATTCGTAACCCTGTTACTGTTTTACTCTAACACTTGCTTGTCATTGCCGTGCGCAGCGTCACTACCACGCTTGCCGCAGCACCGATGAGATATGACCCATGATGCGCCAGGCGTCGCCAATCCTGCAGCAGCGCCTTTCTGGAATGCGAGCTCCACATAAGAGCTGTGGCGCGCTCGGTTTGCGACTGCATTCATTATCTATATCAGGGTTGCCCTCAACCCCTTCTCAGCGCGGCGAAACCCAAGAAGGCCATAAACCCCTGCGCTACTCACTACAGTCACCAGTCGTATTTCTCCAGCAAGATGGCGGTACTTGATGTCTTCCAGCGGTTTTCAGATATCAAACCCCTCTTCTTCGCAATAGTCGGACTAGCCTTGACAGTGTGCGCTATTGGCGCACTATCCTACTCGCATCGCGTCCCTAAGAATGCGCCACCTCAAGTCAAAGACGATCTTCCAGTCGTCGGAGCTCTTGGTTTCTGGACCCGAAGATGGGAATGGTGGAGCGAGCGACGCGACCAGTCCAAGACGGGAACCTTCTCTTTCCATGCTGGACCGAACATGATTGTTGCGCTTTCAGGAGACAAAGGGCGCCAGCTGTTCTTCGAGTCGAAAGATCTGGGCTTCACCGAAGGATATGCTGTGTTGTTCGGTAACTCGCCCAAAGTTTCCAGGACCATTACTGCCGAGGATAATAATCTCAGCTTCAGCGCCATGTTTCATCGCCGTCTGAACTTCTTCTTGAAGAACGACCAATTCCGTCGCAAGCTGCCTATCTTGATATCCGACACAAAACAAGCTCTCGAAGCCATCAAGAATGAGCCCAGTGGCCGCACCAATCCCTTCGAGAGCCTGTACCGGATCGTCTTCCGTCTCACCATCCGCATGGTAGGCGCTACTGAGATTGCCGAAGACCCTCAGATGCTGGAGGAGGTTCTAAAGATGTTTGAGACGATTGAAAGCAGCTCTACCGCTACGTCAGTCTTGTTCCCGAAGCTCCCTTCACCGGCTCTCTTGAAACGAAACTGGGCAGGAGCGCAACTCTATATGATGATCGACAAAATCATCAAGAAGCGTGCGGCAAGCGACGAGAAGCACGATGATGCGCTGCAGTACTTGTTGGATCAGGGTGATCGCGCCGAGAGAGTCTCTCAGTTCGTCATTGGAGCGTTGTTCGCTGGTTTACTCAACAGCGGTATCAACGTAGCCTGGGTAAGTAAATCCAAGCCTCCCTATACCTTGCACCTATAGAATGTAAGCTAATGTTAATTAGGTTATGTCCTATCTCGCCACCTCACCCGAATGGCTCGCCAAAGCGAACGACGAAGTCCGCAGCAATGCGGCGAGGTACGCTAAGAACCCGAACGCGCCCTTGCTCCAGCAGCTCGACGACGTACCTGTAGAGGCATGGGAGGGCGAGTTCCCAGTCATCGACATGTGTCTACGAGACTCTCTACGCCTGAACCTGCTCGGCACGGCCTTCAGGCGGAACATCAGCGGCAAGAACATACCCACGGGTAACGGCGACGAGGTCATACCACCCGGCGCATTCGTCACATACGCCCCGGGCGACATACACTACGATCCAGAGATCTATCCCGACCCACAGAAGTGGGATCCGGCTCGATACATGCCAGATCGTGCGGAGGACAAGAAGAAGGCAGCACATGGCTTCCTTGGCTGGGGGTCAGGACGGCATCCGTGTTTGGGCATGCGCTTTGCGAAACTCGAGCAAAATGTTATCACGGCGTACTTTATTGCTACCTTTGACTTCAAACTTGAAGACGAGAGTGGCAACGTGCTTACTGTCGCCCCTTTGGTTGACCCTAATTGGCATTCTGCGCATAAGCCCAAGGAGCTGCAATTTCTTAGGGTTATAAGGAAGGAGATGTAGGTGGTATAAAGTCGGTAATTTGATGGATCAATGTGTTTTGGAAAGAGTACATCTCATCGCCACTGTCGGTCTTGGGCATGTGAGCCCTGTCTTTTAGTGTAGAAGTAACATGACGCAGGGATGCGACGCGATACTGCAGTATTTGGCAAGGTTTGAAGCGACACGAATTGAATATCCTTATACCCAAGTGTGCGCGTAGCTATCGTTTCTTATCTTAGTAGGGCATGCGTGTCAATGGAAAGAGCATTGGAACGAGTCACCTGCTTGTATACTAGCGGCTTGGCGCGGACGTGTCACACCCTCCTTGCACCTCAGTCAACGAGCAGCCACGGTACACATGTTGCGCTATACACTTTCTTTACCTTTAAGCTACGAGGCGAAGAGATTCTTTCACAGTCTAGGGAGGTCTTTCAAGTAATACCCCACTACATTCACTCGATTACGTCACCCGATAACTGACCATATGCAGGTACCGCGGTAGCCGCCCTTGTGACTGACCCACAGTACTCACATGCGCCAATGGATATTTGCCAGAATACCAGTATACCAGCGCGATAATCTGCGCTTCAACTCAACCACCCAAACCACATCTCACTCTCTTCATACCGCGATGGCGCCGATGACGCCACTCAGCTCTAGTCCCAGGAAGCGACGCGTAGCGAGTCCCGCAAACGGAGTCAAGACACCACCTCTCTCACGGGAAGCCGCGATACCAGAATTCAGTCCCGAGGACTCCCAAGATGGCGGCCAGCACGATACGTCTGCGCTGTTGGACGAAGTCGACACCCACCTTGTCCAAAACAACGGAATGCTGCGCCTTCCATCCGAACTCCTTGAAATGGTAGCTTCCAACATGCTCGGCACTACGCACATCTGTAATTTTGGACTGGTTAACAAACGTCTTGGAGAAATTGTTCAAAAGACCATCGTGCGAGAGCTGATCGTGTCGGGGAGGAACATCAAAGGCTTCTTGCGAATGCTTAGCTATCAGCCGGAACTCCTTAGCAAGGTACTCAGTATCAATCTTGGGGATTTCGGGTGCAGTCACCACGTAGGCTGTTTCTGCGCGAATGGAAACAGTCTCGACCTGGACATACTGGAAGGTCTTGGCGCAGCCATCTCTACGACTACTGGACATACCCTGGACTGGAGCCGGGTTTGGGAAAGCAACGCCTCAGTCGGTACCATATGGAAGAAGGAACCAGCGCTTTACCTTAATCTTCTCGCGATATCGTGTCCCAACATCAAATCGGTGACTGTTCAGCTACCGGAAGTGAGGCCATTTTTCTCCAGCCAACCGCCACGTTCGCTTCAGCGGGCACCTCTAGCCTTTCCAGCGCTGAATCTTGAGATGCTACCCGGTGCCCCATTCCAAGGACCAGCGTTACCACTGTTCCAGGCCAAGCTCGAAGCTCTCACAATCGCGGAGAACACCAGATGGAAAGGGCCGCCCACCATCGAGGTTCTTGAGTCGCACGATGCCAAATGGAGGAGTATGGGATCGCACATAATCACACTGGCGGATTTCGCAAGACTGAAGCGGCTTGATATACCCATGGGCATTCTTGGGCGCCCCGACGACATAGTCTTCTCTCTTGCGGCCAAACCTATTGCAGCACGTGTCAATGATGCGCTTCCGGCTAAAAAGACTTTAGCAGAGGCACGTTCCAAAGTCATACCACTCACTATCCAACGCCTTCACTTGCGCTCGTGTAACAAATGGATGTTTGCTTTCTTGCAAAGAATAAACGAAATCCCCGTGGGCGACCTGAGACTCAAGCACGTTGAGCTATCTTTCAACACGCCGTGTAAACAACTCATCATACTGTGCAACGCTTTCGATCTGGGTCGGCTGGATTACCTTGACCTACTTACAGATCTCGATCGCAAAGGTATCAAAGTGACCTTCCATAGTGGGTCCCAAGAGGTCTCCGGGGACATGCGCAAAGAACTCGAGGCGTTTTATCGTTTACGGCCTCTGGAAATGTGGCGCTGTTCAGGATCATCTGCGCCACTCTTCGAGTGGGCTCCAGAAGCAAGCAGACAACCCCAACTGGCCTTTGGCGTCAGAGTGTTCTTACGTCACGCTGACCACCACTCGCAACTCCTGAACAGCCCCACATTCGATTTGACGAGATGGGTACAGGGTGCATTCTTTCATGGTAACAGAAACAGCAAGTGGGATCCGCAGCTTCAAGAACCAAACAAGAAGCAAACGACAATCGACTCTAGTGGGTGGGCTGACAGGGCTTTGGGGAAGCGTGCGTTCAGGCGACGGCTTTCGCCATTACTGAGTGAGTTTGGTATTGGTGCGATACTGACATAAGACTAACGCGCATGGCAGATCTGGACACTTTCCAGTTCACTCTCCGCTTCGAGCAAAAACTTGCGCCCCTCGCTAAAGAGACCCTATTCCTTGGTGCAAGCTTTACCACCACGGAGAGTACGAACGCACAGTCTCCAGAACAATACAGAGACTCGACCAAGAAATTGTGTGCGAAAGAAGAGCAGACAAAGCGGTCCAAGAAAGCCGAATTTACCGAGCCTGCATCACACATTACCGATAAGGCGCAGGGCTTGGACGAGGACATAGAACGTCTGCAGCTGGAGTCTGTCAATATTCCCATGGCCGCCGAATTCAGTGAGACACTGTGGGCTAGCGTTGCCTGGAAGATATTGCTGCAACCGAAGAAAAGGTTATGCTACAAGGACTGTTCAGAATGTTTGGGTAGTACGTAATGACTAGATAAGATGGACAGTATACGCCATGGGCTAGGTTTCTGGGCCGACCTATCATTGCATATGTTCAGGGTGGATTATCAATCTGTGAAAGACTTTAGATAGTATTCGCAGTAGTCTGGGAAGAGCAGTAGGCATGAGATGGGTGGAAGTCATCAGCTGCATCTGCTCGCTACAAAGATTGGACGTGAAAGACACAAACACGTGACACAACCGTGCGCTTCTTCCAAACTTCCAAAATTTGGTCACCCCGCATTCGATGTGACCCAATCTTTACGATAACGCAAGCTTATGCTTATATTTTGGCAGCTTGTTATCCGTCGATGACACCCTATCGCAGCCTGTGCGCCAGTCAACCACTCATCACCGCTGCCTAATTCGACATCTCAGCCTCGCGCCTACCCCACCATATCACCGCCCGCACGACCCTTGCTTCAGCCCGAATTTCTCTAGCTTGCCCATAATGTCCCGACCATCCGGATTCTCACATTCACCTCGTACACCTAAGACCATCGGTGATCTTCCCGAAGAATTACTTCTCAACATCGGCGCACAGTTCACGACTTTGAGTCGCAACCGGGATCTTGCAAGTCTTGCACTCGTATCCAAGAGATGGCGACCTGTCGCGCAAGAATGGCTACTTAAAGAACCAAGGTTCAATCTCGCATTCATCGATCGGTACATGTCAGAACTGGGCTACCGGTCGCACCTGCTCGGCCAGGTCAAGAGCTTGGAGATTTGGAGTAAGAGTGAAGGCAGGACAACCAGAACTCAACATACTACTCGCACCGGGGTACAAGTGTATCTCACCCAACCCAAGTACAATGCGCTACCTGCTCCGGATTACATAAGGCAGGACGCTGAGTTTCTGGAAGCATGTGGGGTCATGATCAATCACTTCGCTACCAACAAACGACATGCGAAGGATTGGCTAGAAGCTATCAAAGATGACATCGTCCCCGCGCTATTTGGCGTCCTCATCTGTGCACTACCCAACCTACGCGAGCTAAAACTCGGCGACACATGGCTCATGGACTTCCCTCTCTTCGCCAGTGCGCGGTCTGCATCTGCTCGCGCGAGTTATACACTACCATACGAGTGGAAGCACAAGTTCTTGCTTGGAGCGCTGACAGCCAAGTTACCGCATTTGACAGTGCTTGAGATACCGAGCGACATGACAGCGATAAGGTACTCCCACAGCGTGACTACGGTCTTCGACCTCCGCCGCTTCGAGAGCCTGAGGGAAATCGGACTGACTATGAAGGCGATACAAGGCCATGGAATCATACGACAAGGACTGCCAATTACGGATCCCGCGGAGATCTTCCCAAAGACGCTGGAAGTCCTGCGCATCAGCGAGGCGACGCACATCACAGCCAACTTCCTGAATACGCTCTGTCTGGCTAAGATAAAGCTCTACCTACCCAACCTCACGCGCGTAGAAGCCTATCATATGGAACATTTAGACAACACCAGATTCAGCGCCGAACTAGACAACTGTCTAGATCCAATCGACGATGTACGCAAAATATGTCGGGACGCCGAGATTGCGGTGTATCTCTACTTCCCGCCGTGGACTATGTCGACGTGGGAGTCGAAGGGTGGTACGCCGTGGCGATTGAAGGCCGAGCCAGATGTGCTACATCGTGCGGAGTACGTGTGCTGGAAGAAAGCGATGGGACCTTTTGGTGTGCATCAAGATCCGATGGATAGGGTGGAGGTTGAGTGGGACGCTGATGGAGATGCTGTTATGATCTAGCGTGTTAGAGGATATGTGTACAGGGTGGCGGATGATGTGCGGTATATGTGCAGCTACCTAGGTACTTTTGTCAGTCGTCAGGGCCTTCGTGTTTGTATAGTACGGCAAAGTTGCAGTAGGGAACAAGCAGTCTTGCTCGCATGTAAAGATTTCGCGCAAAGCGATCCGATCTGAATAGAGCTACCAGCTGCCATGGCAATATGGTTGCACGCAATAGCTGCGAAGTGGAACAGAGAGATGTTGCGTGACGCTTGCCCTACCCCTATCTTTGTCTATGCCGAATCGGGTATAGCCTGCCCCAAATTGCGGCCCTGGAGGCCTAATGTCCCGCGGGGCCGAGTTCACAGCTCTGTTTCTGCCTGATTTGAGGACACACACACACATTGGTTTGTCACGAGCAACGGAGGAAAGAATCGCACACCCATTGGTGCGCTTGTCAAGTAGAGAAAGCGCTTGAAAATACCAACTTCTGTGCGAGCTGATCACGATCCCCACAGTCAGACCTGAAAATACATTCCCACTTCCATCCTCCACCCACTACGATCAAATGGCACCCGCGCGGAGGGATTGGTGCGACTCCGATGACTCCGACGACTCCATGGCTCAGTGTTTTGATTACCTGCGCATCGATTCATCCTCGGCTTCCGCCTCATCACCAACGCGAAAACCAAATGACAGCCAGCTTCTGCGTTTGCCCAACGAGCTGCTGTTGCGGATAGTAGGATACCTTGCGCCTACCAAGCGTCTACTCATGAGCCAAGGGTACGGTGACCGCACCTATGACCGCACATACGGGGAATACCCAGAAGTGGCACCAGAAACTGAGCAGGCGCGTTGGAGGTATGGGGCAGAAGTTCAGAGTATACTTTTCACGAGTCTGACATGCAAGCGGCTGCTCCCTATAGCCCAAGCCATTTTGTATCGCGACGTCTCCCTACCTCAGCCATACCGCTCGTATTTGCTGAAGAAAAGGGCCCCTTCTTTCTTGGCGCCCTTTCTACGTACGATAACCCATCGTCCAGAACTTGGCATCCGTGTGCGCAGCCTGGCTGTTTGGTTCTGGAACAAGTCGTCAGCTTGGATTCCAAAAGACTACGAAAAAGACAGGCTCTGCAATTGTTGTAGCTGTGAAAAGAATCTGGGTAACATTGCTGAGTCACTCCAGCTATCGGTTGAGGAGAAGAAGTCACTCATGAAGGACTTCATATCTCCTTCAGAGGCCGCAGTGTGCGGCCTCATTCTCGCGGCACTTCCCAAACTTCAGACCGCGGAACTGTACACAAGACGTTCTTTTGCGGAATCTCAAAATCCCAAACATTACTTCTGGGATTCAGCGTTCGACCTCACACCAATGAAACAGGGTTTGTCACCCGCCAGGATATCGTCACTCGCACTTTCAACGGGGTTTGAAGGTCTCAGCGCGATTCCTTTTTCCACTCTCACCAACCTCACTCTCGAGTACGATAGAAGTACAGCATTTCCAATAGTGCACGAAGGGTGCTGGGTTAACGTCAGTACCCTCAAAGTCATAGTCACAAACGGACTCTTCTTCAGGGGCGTTGGAAGGTTTGCACAGAACCTACTAGCCCTCATGAAGACTATCCCCAATCTGCGGATCCTCGAAGTCGAGTCTGGTCCAACCCTGAACCATTACCCTATCCTGGCTGGTGTGGATACCCTCGCGATTCATCAAGCGGATCATGATACCCTGGTCTCACTAGATGATTTTCTCAAGGGCAAATTCGCGCCTCTGAAGGATTTACGACGCCTAGAGGTGCATTGGCGCGGCGATTTGGCCCCGCCTGATCACATAGTGGTGAACTTTCCGAAGATGGCGAAGAGGGCGGGAATTCCGATTGTCACTCTAGCTGATGGTGAGGTCTGTGAGATCTTCGAATGAGTACTGAGACTGTCTTAGGCGAAGAGATTCCGTGGGTTACTGCCCCAGAAACAGGACTGAGTCCAACGAATATTAACGTCAAAAATCACTAGAGCGGAAGGCCCTGAGAAGCATTGGCAGAACATTAGTTCTAGACAGTGTATTGCATCTATCAAAGTCTGAATGAGCGACGTGTTAAAACAGCAAAACTACGTATCGATACAAACATTACCTCGACAGTCCCTTCTCCTCAGTAAAGAACGAATGCCCAGCTTTTGAACCACTCTTGTCCGCTTCGCCATTGACACAAATTTACTTAAGAACCTGGAGCCTGTACACAGTGATGATTGCCAATGCAATGCGTGCAGCACACCCTCGTCTCACCCGGAGGCGCATTCGTCCCGCAAGCAGACCAAGCGGGCAAGCACTGAGACGGCGGCGGCGGCGTGCAAAATGTTAGCTCCAAGTCCGTCTCAGCCCCACAGACCTTAATCTGACTACCCGCGGGTGGCTCGCCTGAAGCCCAGACAATGCTTTCGCAGGTAGCATCCGTTGGCTTGAGTGTCAAGGACTTGCCGGAAAAGCCATCACCGAAGATGTCGCTCATATCGTACCAGACCTGATTGACGTCGAGATTGTAGGCGAAGATGGTCTGGCTGACGTTGGGCTTGGAGATTCCGCCTTCGATAGGGGTGATCTTGAGGGAAATGCCACCGGATTTGGAATCAGTGCGGAGGGGCTCGCTGTACGATGATTCGGGGTAGATGATGTTCTGGTCGCTCATGCTGCTGCCAACAGACCAGAGGTAGATTGGATCGGTGCAGTGGTTGGTTACGATGGCGCGACCGGCGGCATTGACGCATGCGGCCAGTGCAGTGACGGTAAGTGCGTTGAAGAGCATTTTGAAGAATGTCGCCGATTGAAGACCGAGTTTGAGATTGAAGGTGGACAGTTGTTGCGAGGACAACTGTGACAGCTCTCTTATACTGTGACTACACTCCACGCATAGCGTGGCCGTGACTGATCCTCGTATCTGCAGCAACCCTTTCGCTACTTTTGTCTACATCCCACGAGGATCATTACACCGGTGCGACCGAGTAACCGACAGCAAACGAAGTTCTTTGTTAGAGTATTGGTGGCGATCATTCATGATTGGCCAGCTATTTTCGGTCTCCAATGATGCGCGCCGGCATGCAGATACCAATCACATGGTCCCACGTCTGGAGGTACGCTTATTGGTGTCAGCTGAGGCAGTCTCACGCTACATGAGGCGTACCAGCCGTTCGGGTATGCGGTTTGTACACTAAGACAGCTCGTATATTATGGTAAGCTAAAAAACAACGGCGTGTAGCAGTGAGTGAATAGCGGGTACCAGTAGGAAAGAGCGGGGAAGTGAAACCATATCGCTCTCTTCGCATCATCAGTAAGAAATGAGTTGTTGGATATACGAGCGTTACACGTTGGCTGTTGCAGAGCTTCTTGCCTGGACTGGGCGAGAGTGAAATGACTCTGCTCAGCTGAGCTGGAGACTTCGTCACACTGGTGTATATTAACGTTACGATGCTCATGGTATCTCATTGACACTGTTGACCGCCTTGGTTGGCGTAGCGTTCACAGCTTCACGCTTCTTCCTGCTCATCTCGTAGACCGTTTTCCTCAAACGGTTGATACTACCCAGTGGCTGATGTGCTACCAGTCCATCCCATGGGTTCAGTTTCATCATGTCCTCCCAGAAGACTCTTCGTTGGGCGCTCAACGCATCCTGAGGTGGGAATTCAACTGTTGCGATGGTCTGATATGGCGCCGTAGCTTCGTCCCATACCACTGAGCCGTCTTCGGTCGGGTGATGAGCAGGTGAAGTACCGAGCTGAATCTGCACTTGACATCAGCAAAAGCGACAACAATTAGGCGTTGTCAAGACGGACTTTGAACTCGTATTTGGCGCCATTATCAGCAAAGTACTCCAACAGCCAATCGCGAAGTGCCTCTCGCGAGTCACTACCTTTGACTTTCTCCTCTCGTTGCTTCATATCGTCGAGTACTGGGAAGAGCGCCATGTGGCCATACCATTCGCCAAAACGAAATGCACTCTGAGTGTAGAACGAGTGGCTGATTATGTTCGTATTCGGGAGCATACCTAGCGCAATGAGTCAAGACAAATAACATCCAGAAACAGCACGTAGCCTACCAGGCGCACTTTGCTTGATCGCATCTGTCCTTGGTTTTGTCGCTGCGGCCAGCTTCAAGGGACTGTCAAAGTACTTCTCCCTCAGTTCCATGATCTCAAGACAAGTATCGATATCGGTCAACTCGATCGACGGAGCGTTATTGAAGAACACATCCTGCGTACTGGCCTCAGGGTCAGAGCTTTGGAGCTGCTCACCCTGCACACCGAATACTCGCATTCCCAGACCGCGAGGCCCTGGCTGCTGGTCTGCTTGAAGAAAGACAGGTTCATTAGCATATCGTGCCGCGACATCGTAGATCTTGCCGGGTGTCTTGAAAAGGCCTTGTTGTAGGTGGGCCGGCAGGTCCGGAAGCACGGTCATTTTGCCTTTGACAATACCCTGCGTCTTGACGTGCGTCGCTCGAAAAGCATGTCGATGCTGATCGAAGTTGTGCTGCTGCATCCTGTTCATCGTCTCTCCAATCTTCTTAGCGGTCTCATCTTCGTTGGGTTTTGGCGTCTCCACCCCCGGCGCATCCCAGCGAAGGTACGAGTCGTTTGGCGGAGCTGAAGAAAGAGCGCGCTTTGCGCTATCGTACACATCAGAAAGCGACATCTCAAAATCTGGTAATTAATGAATGCCCAGGGCCAAGGGTTGGCTTTGCATGGGTCTGAGTCGCGATCGTGAATGCTGCACTAGCTGTAGCCGCGACGTCATAGATGCATCATCACCGCGGAGGTCCCTAGGGCTCCACAGAACGCGGATGGACGCTAAACATGGTAAAGTTCGGGGGATGGGCAATATTGGCATGGTGAAAACTTCCAGGATGGCTGTAACAGTTGCGTCTGGTGATCTGTGAGGCTCAAGCATCGACCGGCGGCAAGACCTCCTTCGCTCGACCTGTGCTGAGATCAGCACGCGCTAAACCTAACGCGGCTTCAGGCATGCTCATGCAGGCTTGGAAAAGGCATGACACCTTGACTTTCTCGCTTGGCATCGAGCCAAATCGCATCGAAGAAAGTGCCAAATTGACGTCAAGCAATATGGCATTTGCTTCGCTGTCAACGGCCATCCCCCGTCGTCGATAAGACACCATGTCCCCGTCGCGCCCATCATCCTCGCATCCCGAATCAACGACTTCGTTGGTTTCAGGCACCTCCTCTACCGACAACATGACTGCCCGTGCCAGACCCATCAAACGGCGCCCCCGGCCCGCGCAACGAGAAGACTACAACCCCACATGTTTGCCATGGAAGAAGCGCTTAGATCACTTTACTTGGTCGTGGTTTGAGTGCACTATGTCCACCGGCGCCATTGCGACACTTCTCGGGCAGCAGCCATACAGCTTCCACGGATTAAAGACCATTGGGAAGATATTCTTCATCTTGGATATCGTTCTGTTCCTTGCGTTTAGCGCATGCATCACCTACCGTTTCATCCACAACCGTGGATCCCTTAAGCTCAGTCTGCACCACCCACACGAAAGCTTCTTCTTCGGCGCATTCTTCGTATCCATCGCACTCATCATCTACTGTATTGAGCTTTACGGAGTGCCATCTTCAGGACCATGGCTCATCAAGACGTTGGAAATACTCTTCTGGTTATACGCGGCCATCGTCATCTTGGTCGCCGTGTTCCAATACCACGTCATTTTCGACCGACGTGAGCTTCCTGTTACCGATGCAATGCCCGCTTGGATCCTGCCGGTATACCCCTTCCTTGTTCTTGGAGTTCTGGGTGGTACACTGTTGAAGAGTCAGCCACCTGGGCCTGGCTTCAACATCTTCGTCGGCAGCGTTACCTTTCAGGGCTTGGGCTGGACTATCGCGTTCCTAATGTTGACCCTCTACTTCACGCGCTTGGTTAACAGCAATCTTCCCGAGATACCCAAACGCCCCGGCATGTATGTGGCTGTTGGTCCGGCTGCATACACTGCGAACGCATGCATTTCGCTTGGTATGCAGGCACCGAAGCACGTCCCCGAACATCTGCTGGGCATTACATCCTTCCCGGTTGGTGATGCTTTCAAGGCTTTCGGAGTTATCGTGGGAATCTTCTTGTGGCTAATCTCCTTCTGGTTCTCCGCCATCGCCACCATTAGCATTGTCATCAGTGCTAAGGAGTCTCACTTTACCTTGAATCATTGGGGATTCATCTTCCCAAACGCTGGAATGACCATCGCCCTCATCTACATCGCCAACGCACTGGACAGCCCGGGCATCAAAGGCGTGTGCAGCGCAATGACCATTATTTTGGTGATGCTGTGGATCTGGGTGGCGGTACTCAATGTGAAGGGTGTACTACAGAAGAAAGTCCTGTGGCCCGGTATGGATGAAGACATGGAGGACATTGAAGGGCACGGCCACAAGCCGGGCTCAGACCAAGAAGACGGAGACGGGCAAGTGTAGATAGCTGTCACCATCCTCAGCAATATTGTATTTAACGAATTGTATTATGATGCCACTGATGGAATGCTTGTATTGTCACTAGCCAGCTGTCTCTACGCAGAGCCAACGTGTTAGGTACGACCGCGGCCAGCACATGATTCCTTGCCCACAACCCATCTTCGCCACTACACAGTTAACCAAGATACCACCGCGCACCGTGCATGTAGAACAGAATGTCGTACTACAACATCTACCCCGACACAGTCATCGACTACATGATATGCACCACTTGCGGTACCGAAGCATTCGCATGGCTAGCCGATGCCTTTTGTTGTCCTGTATGCGGTAGCGACAAGTACAAACATCCAGAACATGCGCATCCTGAGATCGCTTCCAGTTGTGATGAAGCAGATATACAAAGACAGCTTGCGAAAGAGCATTGCGAAGAGATTCGGCGACATTTTGCTGACTTGCAAAAGAGACATGGACAGCTATGGGGTGGGGCTACAATGACGACGCGCGAAAGGAAGAGGAAGCGTTCGCTGAGCGATGACGGGCAGCGTCAAAGGCAATGAGCTAGGTCTGCACGAATCAGGCGAGGGTTGCGAAGGCGAGGTATCATGCATGTATATGTTGCTAAGCGACGCAAAGGGAACTTTTTGTGAAAGAACGCTGAACAAGAAACCAAATAATCAACACCGTACGCCCCTAGATACCCAAAATACTAATAATCAAACTCCAATTCAATGAAATCATCCTCCTAACTGGAAAATTGACTTCGAACTCTCCTTCCTCTTCAGTCCAATCCTCTTCGCCAACTGACCAAAACCACTACCCCTCCTCTCCTTCTCCTTCACTCCTTTCACCTCAACCTTTGTCTTGCTCTTCTCACCCCAAGGATTCTGCGCCTCTCGCTCAATCTGCTTCTTGCGCTCCACAGCAAGTATGCCCACTTGATCCACGAACACAGACTTGTCGAGCAAGTCTTCGACCCTGACTCTCAGACCATCTTGGTCAAGAATGGATGCGACTTGTGCCAAGCCCATGATGTCGCCGCCCAGCTGGAAGAAGTCTGAGCCGAGATCAATGGGTGTAGGAGAGCCACGCTCGTCGTGTAGAATTTGCTCCCAAGCCGATCGCAAGGTTGTAGCGAGGGTGTTTGTCTCGTGATTTGAGAGGCCTGTATCGGTGGGTAAAGTCATCGGCTGCTTCTCCACGGATCGCTTGCGCATCTTCTCTGAGTTGGCGGTAGTCGAGCTACCGGAGCTGACCTCTGTAAATAGTGGAAGCAGAGTGTGCGGGTCTTCCGAGAAAGCCATGACATTGGCGCAAAGAATATCGAATGCGTGCTGCGCAAATTCTGTGGTAATCGTGCTGTTCGGGACGTACGTCAAAGTGACATCCATCTCATTGCCACGGGAGGTAGTGTGGACGGAGAAGTCTGCGAAGTCTTCCTGGGAGCCGACGGCGCCGATGGTGTACTCGATGCCGCCTAGCTGCATAGTTGGCCGGTCATCCTGAATGTTCTGGTCATGTTGCAGAACGCTGGAGAAGTTCGTCCAGTCAGGCCATTCCGTGCAGTGTCGGGTGATCTCGCGGAAGCCGAGCGACTCAAATGGCATGTTCGCGATTTGTTGGTCTTGAACATACTTTAGAAGATCCATTACAGTCCAATCAGGTCGGTACACGATGCGAACAGGTACCATGTTCAAGCAAGGGCCGACGATGTTCTCGACATTGGCGACACCGCCGTTACGGCCTGAGATGACGTGACCGAAGACAATATCAGCCTTGCTCACAAGACGGGAGAGAGTCGAAGCCCAAGCGGCCTTGGCCACCGTTGCGCTGGTGATGTTGACGCCCTTGAGCTTGGGTGCACTGACTCTCTCTTCGAGTGTGATGGATTGGCCAGCTGAGCGCTGATAGTTGGGGCCGAATCGGTTGACAATCTCTGTCATCTTAGAGCCGCGAAGAATGTCTCTCCAGTGATCGTGGGCTCCCGATACGGTCTTGGCAGTTTCGCGTACAAAGTTGCCAAAGCTTGGGGCAGATGAGACCGGGAGACCATTGTATCCATCTTGGAGCGCACCGAGGATCTTGGACATGCAGACTCCATCGTATTGGGCGTGTGAAAGTCGCATGAAGATACGGTATCGCCCTGTTTGCTTTTGCTTTGCGACCACGAATTGGATGAACGCTTCGCCGAGTCGTGGACCGCCCTCTCGATCCTTCTGTTGCAGGTCCTTGGTGAAGGTGTCGATATCTTCGTCGGTTTGATGGTATATGAATTCTGGTTGAAGCTTCCGCAGTACGACCTGGAGGAAGCGGTCGCCATAGGGGACGAATACGGTGCGAAGAATATCGAAGGCTTGTACCATACGGTAAGCAGCTTGCTTGAGCCTGCGAAGATCGAGCGGCCCATCTCCATCCAGGTAGAAGTAGTTGAGCATCCATTTTGACTCCATGAGAGTACCCGTGATGGCGAGTGATTGAAAGTCTGTGACAGGGAAGACGTCCGAGATGCCTCCCTTGAATACTTGCACTTTCGAAATGACACTGTCGACATTGGGGTCTCCAAGCATCGAAACGGACCTGTTGAGAGAGCTCTCAACACCTTCCTGAATAGTATGCGTGGCCAACGGCCTTGAACTGATTTTGCGCGAGGCATTTGGCTTCGTCGGGCCGGTGGTGAGCCCTTGCAACCTCTTCAACATAGTTGAATCTCTGTGACTCAGCTCCGACTCGGCGGGCATCTCGCTGGGAGCTATGCTCTTGGTGTCGGCGTTTAGATCGAACATGTTGTCCTGGAAGTCGCTCCAGATTGATTGGGCTCTGCCGCGTTGGTGAGACCTGGACTGGCCTCCGACACTCCTGCCTGCCACTGAGCCGCCGCCAGCTCGGGACATAACTTCATCAATGACCTCGCCCGCAACACGTACTACACGAGCCATGTCGGCAAATGTGGGGTTCTTGAACACATCAGCCACGGTCATTGAAAGGCCCTCTTCCCTCGCGGCTCCGACGAGGCGCATAGCCATGATGCTATCACCCCCGAGATTGAAGAAACTATCTTCTTGCTCGATGGTGTCCTCCACCGTCTCGAGAAGCTCAGCCCACAGATTGAGTAGCTTCTTCTCAACAATGTCAGGTGTGACTTTGGTAGAGGTCTCGGTGGCAATGACACCAAGAGTGGCGACCATGTCAGCAGCGGTCTGGATTCTGTTCTCCGCATTACTGGCAATGCTCATGCGGCGCGAACGTATGGAGGCTGCTCGTGGTGAGGCTGGGTGTATAGACGCTCCATCGATACTCGGCCGTCCGCGTTGTGACATCGAATGCTTTCTCGTGAGCATACCCGCCATTTGATTAGTCATCTGATCGATCGTTGCAGATGTGGGTTCAGTTGTCAGCTTGTTCTGCGCTACGATCTGCTCGACGATCTGGGGCACCATCTCGCTGACGATGGATCGGATGAGGCTGCTCCAGTCAGGTGTCTCAGCTGGCTGCGGCGCCGCTGGAGTCAGATCAGGGAATGTGATCCTCGGTGTACGAGGAGGTGAGGTTGATCCGCCACTGGAAATGCTCGAGCTGGTTCTGAGAATAGGACGCGGCTTAGGTAAAGCAAGGTGACCGGGTGAAGACTGTGTTGGCTTGATCTTGATGACATTATCCAAGTCGGGAATGGTTTGCTGTGCGTTGTTGAGCGCCTGGGCCAGGACCTTTGCCATGAGAGCAGAAACGTTCTTAGCCTCGACATCGGTCACTGCATCACTCCAATACGTGAAGCGCACGGCTTCATCATCGCGGGTGGCATCGATGTTGACCGTGATAGCGAACTCGCTGGGATCGTGGCCATCAAGCTGCTCAAACTCAATACCAGAGTCATCTGCCGCGGGCTCGTCTGCGTTCGCGCGCCTCTGAATCGAGACGGCAGTGTTGAAAAGCGATTTTCCGGAAAGACCAAGATCATGCTGGAATTGAGCGAGCGAGCAATGTTGATGTGGCATGGAGTCGACAAAGTCGGACTGCACCTTCTCAACGACCTGGAGCAGTGAAGAAGTCGGTTTCAATTGAACTCGTGATACCAACATGTTGATGAACGCGCCAACTGCGCTGTCGATATTGTCGATTGGTACATTTCTTCCCGACGTGAGATATCCGTAGCACACATCGGAGGAGTTGGTGTAAGAGCGGAGCACCAGAGCCCATGCTGCGAGGAGGATATTGGCGAAAGTGACGTTGCTGCTCTCCGCTAGATCGTGAATCTCGTCAAATCGGGTAAAGCGCATGTCCAAAGACCGAAGCTCTCGCTGCTTACTGGGGTCTCGAGGCGTAGTCGGGAAATAACATGGGCTGACACCGCGAAGCTTGGCCTTCCAGTACAGTACCGCATCATCAACTGGCAGACCGCGCAGGTACTTGATATAGTCGCTGTATAGCGGTCCTTCCTCAGATAGCTCCCCTTGGTATGCTTCCTGGAGATCTTGCCCGATAATGCCGAGTGAGCCTCCGTCGATAACGGCATGGTTGACAATGACCTTAACAAAGATCTTGCCTGAAGGAGTCTGGACGACAGCAGCCTGATGGGGAAGGACAGGTTTCTTCTTGCCGTTGAGAGAGCCATGCTTGATGGACTCTAGCATCTTAGTCACTTCGCTGTCCTTGCAAGTGTACTTGACTATGCCAGAATCGGGGCCCTTGACGACAATCTGATCGAAGACGCCTCCTTTGCAGACACTGTCGATGAAGACGGTGCGCAACGCTGGATGACGGGCAACAACTTGCTTCCATCCATCGATGACTTTACTGGCATCGACTGGGCCTCGCTTCGATTTGACTTCAAACGCAGTTGACGACCAGTACGATTCCGGGGCCTTGATCTGACTCAAGATCATCCCGTCTTGGATAGGCGAGCAAGGGTACATATCTTCCACCTGATCGAAAGAATGGATACCGGCATGAGGAAGTGTCTTCAAGACCCGATCGAGGCGACTGTACGATTCCAATGGTAGTAGTGGGAAGTCGGTCATCGTTGGCTGTGGCGTATCGGTCTTGGCCAGTTCGGTGGCAATCTCCTCCAGTGTGCGTTGGCATTCGGCGATCCACCTGCGAATGCCTTTCTGGTTCTTGGAGTAGCGATTGTACATGAAGCTGAGTTGGATCTGGCCTTCCAAGACTGAAGCCGAAATTTCGAAGAGTGCCATACGCGTTGTCTTAGTACCCACGTCGGATGTCTCCTCGTCATCGCCGTCCAGCTGCAGCGGCTGTAGGAGCGAATCGCTAGACCCAGACTGTTCTTGTCGGCCTAGGTAGTTGAACAGCACTTCCATTGGGGCATGATTGGCAAAGCGTTGCTGCCCATCTTCTGTGAGATAGCGATAAGCAAAGTAAGGTCGGCCATTGCTTGTGATCTTGCGGCGGGTATCCTTGACTTGTCGGAGCGTATGCATGACCTCGTCTTCTTCGTCACCGATGGGAATGGTGACCGGATACATGGATGTGAACCATCCGACAGTCCGGGAAAGATCGAGATTGCTTGAGTCCCATGCTTCTCGTCCATGAGACTCGTTGAACAGGGTAGGAGCCCTGCGGTTGATGAACACGCGGGAGAAGGAGTGGACAATAGACGCGAGGAGGATGTCGACGAGGTCTGTCCTGTACACGTGGTGGTTTTCGAAAGCCATCGCAGATATTTCCTTATCGATGACGAACTCATCCCTCTCAGTATCACCGTACACGTTCGATCGAGCCTCCATCCCCCAGAAGGCGTAGTTCGCCGGTTCAACCGCGAGCGGCTGGGTTTGCACGTCGCGTTGTCGATCGATTTGCGAGGCGTTTGAGCTCTGCATCGCATTCCAGGTCTGGAAAGGTAGGCTCTTTGCAAGCTTTGTAGTTGGGCCAGAAGCGAGTAAGTCTTCCAGATCGCCAAGCAACACGCCCCAGCTCACTACATCTACGACAAGGTGGTGAGCAGCCATGAAAATCATCTGTTTGCCCTTGAGACTGAAGAGATTCACGGCAAAGACAGGACCGGCGCGAATGTCGAGGCTTTTCTGGGTAGCGGCAATGATGGCAGTCGCAGCAGAAGCGGTTGGAACCTCATGTGTCGTGAATGCGTAGGATCCGGAAATTTTCGAGATGACGAGCTGCTGCCATTTCCCAGCATCGTCCTTGGAGAAGCGAGCACGTAGCATCGAGTGACATGCGACGATGGAATCCATAGCGCGTTGAACAGTAGCCGGTTGCATGTATCGTGAGATGCGCAGTGATGATGATTGGTTGAAGTGTGTGCCGTTTTCGATCTTGCCGGTCTGGAAGTAGAAGCGCTGAATCGGAGAGAGGGCAAAAGGTTGGTCGCTTGTCTCTGTTCCGTGGTCCAGGATGACTACGGCCTTGATGTCGGCCGCCAGATGGGCCAGGGACTTGGCGCGCAGCACTTGGTTCAGAGTAAGGCTAATACCCTCGCTTCTGCACTTTGCGAGAAGCTTCATGGCAGAGATCGAATCGCCACCAAGCGCTATGAGTGGTTAGTAAACTTGACACTATTCTCCCAGGGGATCACTTACATAGCCAGGACTTGGAAGGCTTGACGTCTTCCACAGGACAGTCCAATACCTTCGCCCAGATGCCCCGAAGAACTGTAAGAGCGGTATCAACAGGTCCGTCGGCCACTTCAGGAAGCTCAGCGTTCACAACGCGCTGATGCGTGGCTTCATCCAGATCATGTAGCCACGACCCGACTTGCTTCTTGTCCAACTTGGTGGAAGCCAAGGCTGGGATACGGGGAACAGCGATCCAAATGGCAGGTACCATATATGATGGCACGAGATCAGACAATCTCTCCTTTGCACGATTGATTCGCGAGAGCGTTTCTTTGTCGGAGAGTACCGTGCGCCAGTCTGAACCAGCGTTGGTAGCGGCGGTTCCGGGGAAACTGACGACAACCGTGAGCTTCTTCGTGCAGGGGCCAATCTTGGGTAGCTGTACAACCACTTGATGGATGTTGTCGTCCGCCTGCATGACTGCCTCGATTTCATCAAGCTCGATTCGCTGACCCGCGAGCTTGATCTGGTTGTCTCTTCGCCCGATGTAGTGGATAGACCCATCAGCGGTGTACTGAACAAGGTCGCCGGTACGGTAGATACGCGATGTATTGCGGATCGAGAACATCTTCAAGAAGGCAGGGGCTTCGATGAAGGCTTCCGCAGTACGTTCAGGGTCGTTGAGGTAGCCTCGGGCGAGTAATGGTCCCTCGAGACAAAGCTCTGCGGTTGCGCCGATGGGTGCAAGCTCGTGAGGATTGTCAGAGTTAGTAAGCCAAGCACGTCCGCTCTTTAGGGCGCGACCAATGTTCGACGGGTCTCGTTGTGCAGAGACATGATCATTGACGATAGCAAACACAGTGCCTTCAGTAGGACCGTAGCCGTTCTGTAGTTTGACACCGTTGGCCCATTTGTCAACCACGTCAGATGTCATGGCCTCACCACCGGCTACCAGAGTCTCCAACGTCGGTACAGCACTTGGTCCTTCCAGCGTACCGGCAACTGATGGTGTGAAGAAAGCCCAGTTGGCTTTGAGATCTGTCACTGCAGCGGCGAGGTCCGTGGTGCGCTGTTCGTCTGATGGTACACAGATTGTGGCGCCCCGAAGAAGGACGGCGAGGGTTTCGCCAACGGAAACGTCAAAAAGGAAGGAGCAGAACTGGAACACTCGGGAAGTAGGCGTGACATGAAGCCCTTCACATATCGCAGCCGAGCTAGAAGCTATACTCTTGTGCTCTACAACGACTCCCTTGGGTTGTCCTGTGCTACCTGAAGTGAAGATGACGTAGCAGGTATTGTTGCCTTTGGCGCGCTGCGATAGCGGTCCGGAACAGGCTGGTAGTCGTCGAATGGTGGTCTCACTGACATTGAACACGTGATCGACCATGTCCGTGAAACGATGGGCGTACGGCGGTGAGCACAGGACGATCGAAGCTTTGCATGCCTCAACGATATGCAGATGTCGTGAAGGCGGGTCTGATGAAGATAATGGCACGTAGCCTGCGCCAGAGATGAGAATAGCCATGATAGCTACGATGGCCCATCGCGACTTGTCCACACAGATCGGGATCAGAGATTCAGGGCCAGCACCAAGCTTCACTAGCTGCTGTGCCAGTTGCGATGCAAGCGCGCCAAGCTCAGCGTAGGTGAGTTCGCCATCGAAAGCGGTCACGGCTGTGGCGGTGGGCTGAGATGCAGCCTTCTGGAAAAAGAGCGAGGGCACAGTGTCATCGATGAGATCAGGCTCATACGCGTTCCACTTTTGCACGAGCTGCTTGTCCTGTTCACTGAAGACAGCTACATGACGAACATGAGTAGCTGATTGGAGTTGGTTCAGCACCGACTCAAACTGGTATAGAAGGCGCTGAATATGCCAAAGCGAGATGACATTTGCATCGAAGTGAGCCAAGACATCGATCTTGGTCGATCCCATCTTGCACTCAATCACGAGTGGGTATGTGAAGAAATTGCCCTGATCTTCGTTCTCGTGGACGGTCCACATGGAGTCGGCGAGCTCCTCGTTCTCCGTTTGAACAACCAAAAGGTTCTGAAAGTCGCATGCGGCTGCCATGTCGTCGCCGAGTGCTTTGATAGCAGAAATCCCATGGTGTTGGTATGGGATACGGTCGGTGACATTCGTCGCTATCATCTTGAGCAAGTCGCTAACAGTAGCGCCGCGATCAATTTTGACCCTGGACGGAACAGTGGTCAATGTAGGACCACACACATCCGTAATTCCCGCGACGGCAATGTCTCGCCCAGCAAGAGTCTCACCAAACACCACATCATCACTTCCGGTGTAGGCAGCAAGCAGCAAAGCCCAGGCAGCTCGTATGACATTGGCTGGTGTGACGTCTGTGTTCTTGCGAGGTGCAAGCTTCACAGTGTGTTGGAACATCCGTCCGTCGGATGTTGCGTTTGAGGTGGCATGGGGTGGCTGAGGGAACTGGAAGGCGTTGAGACCCATCAAGCTGTTCTTCCAGTAAAGATTCGAAGCAGAGGCATCGGTGCCAGAAATGTACCCCACAAATTTGGAGTAAGGTGTCTGAGGGATGGTGGATGTGCCGCTCGAGTATATCTGCTGCACTCGCTGAAGCATCAGGTAGATACTCCAGCCATCGTACAAGGCATGATGCAGTGTCCATACAAAGTACCGCTCCCCTGATGTCGTAGTGACCAGTGAGTAGGCTGCGAGTTTGCCACCGAGATCCGAAGGAATGGTCATCGCTTCGCCTTCGGCACTCATGAGCGAGGCCTCTTCTTTCCAGACAACAGGATCCTTCTTCATGACAGCTTGCATGAACATACCGGATGGTAACTGGATGATGCGAGTACGAAGGATGTCAATCTCCTGAATGGCTGTGTCCCAGGCCGCCTTGAACTTCGTCATGTCCAAAGTTTTCGGTAGCGCCAATACGTGCTGCGCGACATAAGCTCCAGCTTGCTTGATAGAGAGCGTGAGAAGCGCATCCTGAAGTGGACTCGTCGGATAGGCGTCCTGAATGTTTTCCTTCGGAACTCGGCATTGCTGGACAGCTTCGCCCAGTACTTCAGCTCTCGGAGACGAAGCTGGCAGCAGGTCAAAAGGCTGCACTGCCTTCTGCGGCTGATTGAGTGTGTTAGAACGAGTACCAATCCTGGCTAACTCGGAGAGCTTCGGATTCTTGAAGATGTCGATAAAGGACAGCTCTAGCTGTTCGGTATGAGCCATCGCAACGAGACGCATGGACGAGATGGAGTCGCCACCAAGGCGGACAAAACTGTCGTCGATGCCTACTGCAGAAGGTGGCAAACTCAAGACGGAGCACACCGCTTTGTGGATCTTCTTCTCTGCCTCGGTCGTGGGCTGCTTCTTGTTCGCCATGCTTGTGAGTCGGTACAAAGCCATTGTCTCCCGACTGAGGTTTTGTACTAAGCTGCGGAGACGATTGCGGTCTAGCTTGCCCGCCGAAGTCCAGGGCAACTTCGTGACAGGGATGAAGATCGAAGGTATCATGTACGAGGGCAAAGAGCCGGCGAGCCCATTCTCAGTGTCTTTGCACATGTCTCGAAGCTCGTCGCTGAGCGGAAGAAGTAGTTCATCGGAGGCGGGCAGGTCGGTCGAGGGCGGCTGGACGTTTTGCGCTTCGTCTCCGGCTTGACCCTGAGTAACAGCAAAGAATACTGCCAAAGCCTTCGCAGAGCTGCGATTGGAGGGTGCGACTAGTTCCACTGCGGACTGTACGCTCTCGGGGAAGTTCTTTCCTACGTGAAACTCGATCTCACCCAGTTCAATTCTCTGACCGTTGAGCTTGATCTGGGTGTCCTTACGACCGATGTAGTTCACGGACCCATCTGTGTTGTAGCGGACAAGGTCACCTGTCTTGTACATGCGGGCTGTTCCAGAGATTTGGCTGCCGGAAGAGATAGTTTTCGCCCAGGCAGGATCAACGATGAAAGCCTTCGCGGTCTTGACTTCATCATTCAAATACCCACGGGCCACGGTGGGGCCTTCAATGACGAGTTCGCCGACGCTACCGATAGGCATGAGTTTGTCGTGGTTTCGTGGGTGTACGATCCATAGTCGACATCCGCTTCCGGTACCAATGGTGCCTGGCTCTGAAACAATGAGCTTGTGATCCAGTGTGGACTTGTATGCAGTAGCGGCTACGACTGAGCACTCGGTAGGGCCGTAAGCTGTTCGTTGTCAGTACGGAGCCGAACGGGGATTATAGGGTCTGTATACATACCGTTGATGAAGCAAGTGCTGTTGCCCCATTTCTTGAGGATGGGTCCGGGAAGCGCCTCGCCTCCAGAAACAAGCGTCTTCAAACCAGGAACACGCTCTGGCTCGACAGTTCCAAGAACCGACGGGGTCAACAGTGACCAATTGACTCTCAACTTGCGGATGGCGCCAGCTGCGTTGTTCATACGATCGTCATCTGTTGGCACGCATACCGTGGCGCCCACGGTCAAGGCTGAAAGAATCTCGATACAGCTTGCGTCGAATGTGTATGAAGCAAACTGGAAGGTGCGAGAGGTTGCATTGATATTCATGCGACGCGTGAAAGCAGCTGCACTTGTACAGAATGCTTGATGAGGAATGATTGTTCCCTTCGGCTTGCCGGTAGTACCTGAGGTGAACAAGCAGTACGCTGCGTTGTCGGGAGTTGCTGTGGAACGTGGCTTGCTGGCCACTGGAATTCCGAGCTTCTTGATGGATCGCTGGTCGACGATAACGGCTGTCTTTGCGACCTCGCTTGCTTTGTCGTGGTATCCGCGCGAGCACAACACCACCGGGGCGCCAACGTCTTCGATAAGCTCTCGAAGTCTGGTTTGCGGATGCTTCGGGTCTAGCGGCACGTACGCTCCACCAGCCTTCATGATTGCAATCATGCTGACGATAGCGTACGATGACTTCTCGAACAGAATTGGCACGAAAGTCTCAGTGGTCACACCGATAGCCTGTAGATGGACTGCAAGCTGATTGGTGATCTTGTCAAAGTCTTGGTAAGTGAATGACCCGTCCCATCCTTCCACAGCCTTTGTTGTTCGTGGTCTCGTCAGTGCCTGATCATGAATGACGTCGTGCACACAACGGCGGATAGGTGGCGGAAGTTGTGGGTTCCATTCGGTGATTTGTCGGAGGCTACTATCCGTGAACACGTCCAGCTTGCCAACAGTGAGCTCCGAAGCACAGCTTTCAACAATGCTGTCCAGAATCTTGCTGAAAGTATCGGCCATATTCTGTGCTTGAGAGGGGAGAATCCTGTCTTTCGAATAGCCAAAGTCGACAGTGATGTTGTCGTCGGTAACATCTGCATTGACTGTGACAATGTATTCGCCGGCATCTTCCGCTTCCATATCTTCGTAGGTGAGAGCCGTCTCCTCTGGATCGCTTGACAGACCGCGCCTTTGGAAGGTGAAAGCCGTGTTGAACAATGAAGGTAGTTGAAGGGCATGCTGTATGTCGGCAAGAGAGCAGCCCTGATGCGAAAGAGCCTCAGTAGAGCCTGTTTGGAGAGCCTCGAGGAGCTGGGCAATGGTTGTGTCATCCGAAAAAGATATGCGTGAGATGACCATATTGACGAAGCAGCCCACGGCCTCCTCGATGTTGGTGACCGGAATGTCTCGACCAGAAGCAATTAGGCCGAAGGAGACATCAGACGTGCCTACATAGTAATGGAGAGTGAGAGCCCACGTAAGCTGGAGCACGTTCGAAAGAGTCACACCATTGTGCTTGCAAAACGCCTGAACACGGGCAGTGCTACCGAGGTCTATGTCAACTGATCCTGACTCTGGAGAGCTTGGGATACCATCGTTGAGGGTGGGAAAGAAGCAGGGCTCCATCCCGGCAAGGTGCGTCTTCCAGTATGACAAGTCAGCATTGCTGGATTTGGAGAGCATGTATGCGATGTAGTCGGAATAGAGTGGTCCGGCATCAGCTCGTGTCAGCTTTCGTGCGTACGCACGAGCAAGATCAGTAAGTAGATTGGATACCGAGGTGCCGTCATTGATCGCATGACTGAGCTCGAGCTTGATCCATACTTTGCCAGTCTTTGTTTTGCAAATGCTCATGCGATGAGGTGGCACAGCCTCGCGGCAGTCAATGGGCGATTGATCTCGCAGAAGCTTGGCAACCTGATCGTCCTCGCAGTCGGCGAGGAGTTGAACTCTTCCGGCTCTCTCCTTGACCACGACCTGATCTTTCGACCCGTCCTTTGCAAGGCTATCGATGAAGATAGTTCGCAAGGCCTGATGACGGTGCACTACGACTTGCCACGCTTCGGTAAGACGGCGTGGATCCATTGGCTTGCCGTCCGTGGACTGTACTTGTGCCACGGTGTGATACGTGTAGAGCTCGGGATTGCGTGATTGCGTATGAAGAAGACCCTGCTGCATTGGAGATGCCGGGTATATATCCTCTACATCCGTGAGGTTGATACCGGCGGGCAGAACCGCGGAGAGCCTGGATGTACCGTTGTAAAGAAGTGGAAGATGCTTGAAGTTGCTAACGTTACGCTCCTGTCGAACTTCGAGAAGCTGTTCTACGGCATCGACGAGGGTCTGGCGACACTGTGCAACCCACGCACGGATCTCGTTCTGTCGTCGCATGTTGCGATTCCATCCAAAGGAGAGCTTGATAGCGCCCTGGGAAACCGCTGCCGTGATGTCAAAAAGCCCTAGGCGGGGAACATCCGCTCCAACTTCGCGAGAGTCGACCTCATCGAGCGAAGTGAACAGTCCCTCCTTGCCGTCTTGTGTTTGAAGCCTGCCAAGATAGTTGAAGACAGCTTCTGCAGGCCAGTGGCTGGCATATCGAGTCTGGCCTTCCTCTGTGAGATTCCGGTAGGCGAAGTAAGGCCGCCCTTTGTCTGGCGTACGGTTTCTGAAGTCTCTAACCCATCGGATAGTGCTGATCATGTCTGTGGCTTCATCCAGTGGGACAGGAAGATGGATAGGCGTCACTGTGGAAAACCAGCCCACTGTGCGCGAGAGGTCTTGGCGGCTATTAGAAGTTTCACGACCGTGGCCTTCATTGTGTATCGTGATGGTGGACCTGTCAGAGAAAACCTTGCGGAACGACTCAAATAAAGCAGCGATGAGAATGTCGAGAATCTCGGTAGCCAGAGCGTCCTGTGCACCAAGAAGGAGCATGGTGTCTCGAGTCGACAGCTGTACATCCTCTTCCACTACGTCTCCACTGAGATTGGGGCGGCCTTCCATGCCCCAGTAGTCGAAGTCTCCCGGTGCAATATCCCCGGCCGGAAAGACACTTCTGGCGTTCTCTTGCTTGGCCTGAATGGTCTGCTGTTGCAGCCAAAGGTGATAGGGTAAGCTCTGAGGTGCTGGCTGAAGGCCGTGAAGGAGACCCTGCAGATCTTCGAGGATGATTCCCCATGACACCACGTCGATGACAAGATGGTGAGCGACGAGTGCTATGGCCTGAGAGAAAGTTTGATCGATGTCAAAGAGCTCGATAGCAAAGGTCGGGCCGTTGGAAACGTCCAAGGTTGCCTGGCTGTCATCGATTATGGGTCGTAAATTGGCATCGTCTCCTGCTTGCACGTTGTGGCGACGAAGTCTAAATGACGTTGGTGCATCTTTTTCGACTCGCTGCTTCCAAGCTCCTGCTTCGTTCTTGGCAAAGCGTCCACGAAGCATTGGATGAGTTTTGACTAGAGTAGTCACCGCCGCCCGAAGCTCTGCAGTCTCGACATTCCGTGAGAGGCGGAAAAGCTCAGTCTGATTGAAGTGGTTGTGCGCATCGCCAACGGTGTCGAAGAAGACCTTTTGAATTGGCGAAAGATCGAAGGGCAAATCGTAGTCTACGGCTTCCGATACAACTTGTGACTTCTCGGAAACATTGGCTGCTGAGGCCATAGCCGAGATGGATTTTGCACGAATGATATCCTGTACGCTGATGGGAAAGCCCTGCGCACGACACTGCGATGAGACTTGCATAGCGGCAATTGAATCACCGCCAAGATGTAGGAAAGACTGATTGAGACGGATATCAGCGACTGAAAGGTTCAGAACCTTGGCGAAGATAGCTTGCAGCTTCTTCTCGATCGCGTTACCGTCGTTGGATTCGGTATCGTCCGATCCAATGGCCGAGATCAGACGATAAGTAGGCTGGTCCATCTCCTCCAGCCACTGGATCGCGCGTCTTCGATCCAATTTCCCGGAAGGCATCAACGGGAAGCGCTCGACAGCGACCCACAAGGAGGGTATCATGTAGGCGGGCAAGCGCTCGCATAGACTGTCCCGAATGGAAGCAATGTTCAGCGAGGCACTTTCTTGCGGCAACACCTTCAATCCGTTCCCCGTGCTCATCGTAGTCGTGCCCATGTTTTGGAGGGACACAATTGCGACAAGTCGCTTCGCACAAGGTCCAGCTTTAGGCACCGAAGCCAGAGCGGTTTGTACGTTGTGATCGTCCAATAGTTTGTGCTCAACTTCAGATAGCTCTAATCGTTGGCCGCGCACCTTGGTCTGGAAGTCCTTGCGACCGAGATACTATTGCAGTCAGTATGCGTCGAGCTAGAGTAATGGAAACGACTTACCAGCATTGTGCCATCCTCGTTGTATTTGACCAAGTCACCAGTCTTGTAGATGCGCAGGGATGCTGAGGAATCATTGCTCAGTAGACCTGAAGACCACTTGACATGCCCAACGAAAGACTGGGCTGTCTTTTCGGGGTTGTTGAGATATCCGGCTCCAACTGCACCTCCCTCCAACAAAAGCTCTCCTATGGCGCCAACTGGTGCAAGTACGTTGTGGTTGTTCCTTGAGACGATCCAGCCTCGTGCTGTGACAGCCTTGCCAAGATTGTTGGGCTTCATGTGAGATGTCATGATATTGGTGGTCGCAATAGCAGAGCATTCAGTCGGTCCGTAACCATTGCCGAGTGTGACCTTGTCCGCCCAAGTGATCAGGTCTTGCTGCGACATTGCTTCGCCAACAAGGAACAGAGTCTCTAACATAGGGACTTGCGATGGCGACATCATACGCACGACTGAGGGTGTGAGAGCAGCCCAGTTGACATTGAACTGGTTCATGACGCCAACAAGATCGTTCGTTCGGGTAGCCTGGTCTGGTACGCAGATAGTACCGCCCTGCATGAGAGTGCTGAGTATCTCAATTAAGCAAGCATCGAATGTGTACGAAGCGAATTGGAGTACTCTAGACGTATTAGAGATCTTCCAGCCAGCCACGAATGCAGTAGAACTGGTGACCCAGTGGTTGTGGTTCACTAGAGCCCCCTTGGGTTTGCCGGTCGACCCAGAAGTGTAGAAGGCGTATGCTGGAGAGTCACTGTGTACTGAAGGAAGACGCTGTAGACTATCATGAGGAGTCTCAGTTGCTTGCCGATCTACAACCAGGGTGCTGGACGGGATAGACTGGCAAAGCCCTTCATACTGTGGCGCGCAAAGGACCAGGTCGGCGCCAATGTCTGAGACAATTTCACGAAGGCGGAGAATAGGTGCCTCGAAGTCCAAGGGAACAAATGCTGCTCCAGATTTGAGTACAGCCAGCATGGCGACGATGGTCCAACCTGACTTGTCGAAGCAGAGCGGGACGAATTGATTTGGCTTAACCCCAAGTCGCATCAACCGGTGCGCGAGAGCAGAAGATCGGTCGTCGAGCTCGCGGTAAGTCATGACACCAGTATCCCAGGCATTGACAGCAGCAGCGGTGGGACGAGACGCGACCTGGTCCTCTTCGATAACACTGTGAATGCATCTACGGATTGATGGCACTGGCTCGCGATTCCAAGAGCCGATCAGATCACGGTCAGCAGGATTGACTAGATCCAGGTCATCCAACGTTCGCGTGATGTTGTCAGCACCATTCAACTGCGTGAGGATGAAGTCAAATTGCTGCACCATGCGCTGAGCGAGCCATTTTTCGACAACGCGATCATCGAACAACGCTTCTACCAGAACGCCAGTCGAACTGACCTTGCAGTTGAAGACGAACGCATAGCTGAAAAAGTCAGTTCCGATAGTGTTGGCACTGATCATGTTCCACAGAGGGCTCTCGGCGTCGAAGTCGTCTCCTGACTCGATACCCAGAAAGCTCTGGAAGTCACAGGCTATGGCTGTCTCGGAACTGAGTTTGCTGATGTGTTGTAGACCGGCGAACTGATATGGCAGCGAAAGCGAAGACTGTTTCTGGGTCTCTTTGAGATACTCGTGAACTGTGGAAGTGCGGTTGAGCCGCAGCCGGACGGGTGCAGTCGTAATAGTGGGGCCAATGATGGACTCTATGCCAGGAACGGAAGCCTCGCGACCACTGTTAGTTTCACCCCAAATGACGTCATCTAGTCCGGAGTAGGTGGCAAGGAGAATGCCCCATGCTGCGCGGATCATGGAAGGGACGGTGACCTCGAGGCCTGGGTTGCGTTTGAGCTGTACAGAGTGCAGCAGTTGGCCATTGGCTTCCACGCGGTGATCTGGGGATGGCAACTGGGGGAATTGTGACGCCGTTACGTTGTCGAGTTGCGAAAGCCAGAACGCATCGGACTGCTTCTGGTCCAAACTCGTAATGTACTTCACGAAGCGCGAGTAAGGCACAGTGAGGGCGATGTTTTGGGTTTCGTTGCGGTAGTGTGCTTCGACTTTGCGGAACAATGCTGTCCAGCTCCAACCATCGTAAACGGCATGGTGGGCAGTCCATACAAAGAAGACTGAGTCAGTCTTCTCACCAACGAGGGTGAAAGTTGTTAGAGGTGCGCCGTTCTTGGCGGGAAGCTGCCTGGTGGTCTCGTTGATATCTTGGATGTCGAGGAGAGACTGCCACTCAATCTCTTCGCGTAACACTACCTGCAGGAAGCCATGCTCCTCTGAGTAGACGATGCGCGTGCGCAAAGTGGCCTCGCTGGCAATGACGGCCTTCCAAGCCTCTTTGAAACGCGCCAGGTCGATGTCGGCTGGCAGGCGGTAGATGGGCTGCACGACGTACGTTCCTGGATCCTTGTTGGTGAGCATTACAAGACCCTCTTGGAGCTTGCTGCATGGGTATATGTCTTCGATGGAATCAGGGAAAACACCGCACTCAGCTGCAGCCAGTGCCATGATAGCCTGACGAGAAGACTGCGGGAGCAGCTCCATGGGCAAGGTATCTGCTTCCGGCTTTGCGGCATCATCGGAAGACAGCATCACCGCAGTAGCGGCCATGTCTAGCAGCTTAGGCTGCGCAAACACATTGGCGACATTGAGCATAACGCCATCCTTTCTCGCCGCAGTGACGAGCTTCATGGCGCTGATGGAGTCCCCACCAAGGCGGAAGAAGGAGTCTTCTGCGCCCACAGCGCTCGCGTCGAGCTTCAGCACCGAAGCCCAGAGACGCGCCAACGCGACCTCGGCTTTCCCAGCAGGTGCGCGGCCGCTCTTGCCTGCTAAGCGGAAAGGAGTCATGTGTGATTCAGGAAGGGCTGCCGCCAAGGCGCGTAGCACCTTCCGGTCAAGTTTGCCAGACGTCGTCATGGGCATGCGGGTGACTGGCATGAACATGGAAGGGACATAGTAAACAGGGAGCGCATTGGCGAGCGCGATTTCAACCTGCTTGGCCACTACGCGTGCCGACTCGCCCATCTCGCTGATGGCAGCTGGAGCCTCATCTTCATCTTCAGAGAGGCACATGAAGGCTACGAGCGCTTTTGTCTTGTTGCTGTCGCTGAACTTGACTAGCTCGACAGCCGACTTTGCGCCAGCCGGTAGGTTCAGCTTGAGGTGGTGCTCGATCTCCCCCAACTCAATACGTTGGCCATGCAGCTATGTAAAGTTAGTTGATGAACTCCAGATTGATATGTGATCAGACGCGTACCTTGACTTGAGAGTCTTTTCTGCCCAGATAGATCATGTCACCGTCGGAGGTGTATTGCACGAGATCGCCGGTACAGTAGAACCTACGTCCTGTGGGGCCCATGACACGAGCCCACTCAGGATCCATGAGGAATGCCGCCTTTGTCTTCTCGGCGTCATTGAGGTAACCGCGGCTGAGAATTGGTCCTTCAAGGATCAACTCTCCCTTGCAACCAATAGGCATCAGGCGGTCACGGTTCTCGGCGTCGACGACCCATCCAACGCAGCCGATTGCCTTGCCGATATTGGTAGCTTCGCCGCGGCCATCACTGAAATCTTTGAACGCCGAGTTGATGGATGCTTCGCTAGGTCCGTACATTCCAACAAGGTGGACATGTTGACTCCAGAGGTCGATGAGCGCCCTGGTAAGAGGCTCCGCACCAAGACAAAGGCTTTTGATTGAAGGGACTTGTGCAGGCGTGAGAAGTGCCGCCACCGTAGGTGTTAGATCCATCTTGTTCGCTCTCAGCCTAGCGATGGCACCAGGGAGATCGTTGACACGATCGGCTTCAGAGGGTACGCATACGCAGCCACCTCGCTGAAGAGTAGTGAACATCTCTTCTAGTGAGTTGTCAAACGTGTATGAAGCGAACTGAAGCATGCGCGAGTCCCGGTTGATGCCGAACTTGGAGCCGTGAGCCTCCGCACTGGTGGCTATTGCCGAATGCTCAAGTACAACACCCTTGGGTCGCCCGGTACTACCACTAGTGAAGATGACGAATACCGGGTTGTGGGGCTGCACGCTAGGGCAGGCAGGACCACCGACAAGAGGAAGACTCTGTAGAAGTGCATCATCTACTATGATGACATTGGCCACGAGACCGTCGAACTTGGATGCACGCGAAGCAGTGGTCAGTACCACTTGGGCACCAGCATCTTCGAGACGGGTTTGGAGCGCTGGGGCGGGATGCGCTGCATCGAGTGGGACAGCAGCGCCGCCTGCCTTGAGAACAGAGAGCATGGCAATAATTGCAAAGGCACTCTTGTCGAAACAAGTAGGCACGAACACCTCAGGTCCAACTCCAAGCTTGACGAGATGATGCGACAAGCGATCTGTGGCGGTCTTCAGCTGGTCGTATGTGTACTCTCCGTCGTGAGCACAGATCGCCTGTGCCTCTGGTTGAGAATCAGCCCATCGGGCGAATATGTTGTGTACACACTCGTTGATCGTGGCCGGCATGACATTCCAGTCCTGTAACTGTTGCAGGTGCCTCGGGCTGAGATGGTCCAGGGATGAGATGCGCCGTTTCGAGTTGAAGACAATGTTCTCGAGCGCACGCGCGAAAGTGTTGGCGACATTCCTAGCCTGTATGGCGGTGAGATGGTCTGTCCAATAGTCGAGATCCACAGCTGCTGTGTCATCGCCGACTTCGATATTGACACTGACTGGGTACTCGGTCGGATCGTAGATCGGGCGAACCTCGCGGAGAGTAACATCCTCTTTAGGAGAGTTCTGTTCCTGGGGTAGGCGACGGTAGGACAGCGCAGTATTGAAAAGGTTGGCGCCGGAGAGCTCAAGCACGTGCTGAACGTCGGCCAAAGCGATATGACGATGAGGCAAGGCTTCCATATAGTCTCTTTGTACGTCCTGGAGTATGTCCAAGAGACAACAAGAACCATCCGATAGATCCACGCGGCAAACGAGCGTATTGATCAGCGGTCCGACGATGCTTTCCACTCCATGAACTTCCTCCGCATCACGAGCGGAAGTGAGGTAGCCGAACGTGACGTCGTTACTTCCGATGTAGCAGCTGAGCGTCAGTGCCCATGCAGTATGAAAGACGTTGGATAGCGTAATGCCATTGGTGTTGCAGAAGTGCTGCAGATCGGCCAAACTTATACTGGTCAGATCGAGGCGGATGGTGACCAGTTCTTTGGCTACAGTATGGCCTAGGCCATCGTCAAGAGTCGGGAAAGAGCAAACCTCACTACCACCGAGGTAAGATTTCCAGAACTCGAGGCTGGACTCTTCAGGTTGTTTCGCAAGCCATGCGATGTATGCGCTGTAGGGAGTACCATCGAGAATGGTTCGCCCTGCGCATGCTTTCCTGAGTTCCTCAGCCAAAAGACTCATGGAGTGACCGTCCATGATGGCATGGCTGATATCCAGGGAGCAGTAAGTCTTCCCGTCGGCCGTAGTACAGATGGTGAAACGGTGGTTTGGGCATCGACCGTGGTTGTAAGTGACGGAACGCTGCTCCTCAATGAGTTTTATGGCATCCGACTCATCTAAGGCCTCGAAGTGTACGATGTTGGCGTCGATGTGTTTGAGAACCACTTGATTGTAGAGACCCTTCGCACCGACATTCTCGATGAAGATCGTGCGTAAAGCTGGATGTCGATCGACGACTTGTTGCCAAGCGTCAGCGACCTTCTCCCAAGAGATATCCCCGTGGATCGTGGTAACCTCGTGAAGAGTAGCCGCAGCGTAGAAACCGGCATGCTTGGTTTGTGACAAGAGCAGACCTTCCTGCATCCTTGAACATGGATACACATCTTCAGTGTCGGTATCCCGAATGCCAATTGCTGAGAGGCTATCGATCATGGCTGAGAAGCTCTCGTCCGTCAATGACAGTAGCGGGAAGTCGCTGAGTGTTGGCTTCGGGTCGAGAATGGTGAGACCTCGGATCATCTGCGAGATGGTTGACTGGCATTCCGATACCCATCGCTGAATGAGTGGCTGGTGCTTCATGTGCCGGTTGAACGTGAACGCGACCTTGAGATGACCTTTGAAGACGAAGGCGGAGATCTCAAAGAGACCCCACCTGCAGGTTTCGTGACCAAAGTCGGACGTGCCGCCAGCCTTGCCTGTCTCTCCGGCCATGGTGCCGGATGGCTGGAGAAGAGCGTCCGCTCTCTCGAGTTGCTGATATTGGCCGAGATAGTTGAACAAGATCTCCATGGGCCAGTGAGTTTCGAAAGTATCACGACCTTCTTCAGTGAGACAACGCCTAGCAAAATACGGCCGGCCATTACCAGGGATTCGTCGTTTGAAGTCCTTGATCTTGCGGACTGTATCTGTAGGATTGCGTGATGGCGATACAAGGATTGGAGATAGCGCGGTGAACCATCCAACAGTGCGGGTGATGTCAATGTCCGAGTCCCAGGGTTCACGCCCGTGCCCTTCGTTGAAGATGGCAGGCACAGGTCGGTCGGTAAAGACATGTGACCAAGACTGGATTAACGATGCAAGTAAGACCTCGACTGGCTCGGTCTTGTAAGCAGTATGGCAGTTGGTCAGGAAGGCGGCACTAAGCTCCTTGTCAAGTTCAAAGCTGGCATGACTAGCGTTGCCGTAGGTGTTGTCTTGATGCTGAATGCCCCAGTACGTGAAGTCCAGGGGAGGAACATCAACAGCTGGAAGGACGTCATCAAGCTCGAGCGACTCAGCGTGATCACGTTGCAGCTCCGCCCATTTCTGGAACGGAAGAGCAGGGGCAAGCAACTGCCCGCCTTTCAAGATCTCTTCAAGCTCTTCGAGCAATAACCTCCACGTGACCAGGTCAACAACTAAATGGTGACCGGTGAGGAATGCATACTGCTCGTCACCAAAATCGAAGAAGTCGGCAGCGAAAAGCGGGCCAGAGACGTGATCAAAACATTGCTGCGAGTCGGCGATCTGAGTGTCGATTTGAGCTTGTGATGTCACGTCAAGATGACGAAATCGGTAGGAGCCACTGATATCGTCTGCACTTAGAGTCAGCAATGTGCAAGGGACCCGCCCACGGAGCAGCAGTAATACACCAGGCCATGTAGGTTGGGGCACTAGTTGTCAGACTTACTTGTAAGACGCTGTTGCCAGCCATGCTCAGGTGAATGCGTGAACCGTGCTCGCAGCATAGAGTGGCGTGTTACAAGCTGTTCCACCGCAGACTGAAAATCGCCGGCGTCGGTCTTACGTGACACCCGGAGATAAAAAGATTGGTTGAAATGGCCATTTGTGTTTGGACGTTTGAAGAAGAGTGATTGGATGGGAGAGAGCTCGAAGTCCTCGTCGAAGAATTCCTGGTGGTCATAGGCCGAGTTGCCGACTTCTTTGACAGCGCCCGACAACTGGGTGATGGACTTGCTGCGCAACACTTCTTGGACGCCAAGACTCATGCCTTCCTTCCGACATTGGCCCACGACCTGCATGGCAGAGATGGAGTCTCCTCCAATCGAAAGAAAGGACTGGTCGAGAGGAACATGGGGCAGATTGAGGACATGAGCCCAGATAGCTTGGAGGCTCTCCTCGACATTAGTGACGACTGTTGATGACATATTGGGTCGTGTGTCGTTCCTGTTAGACACTGGGTGAGCAAATGATTGTGTTGAGGGGTCAATGTGATGCTACATGAGGGCATGGGCCATGTGAAGGGTTCTGTGCTAATCGCGCGGTACGCGTTTTGCTTGCATGGAGGGTATACTTACAAAGATCAGGTAGAGTGTGTCTGACGGATCTGATTGTCAGCAACAATGTGATTAATTCACGTACCGTGTATTACAACTTCTCGTTGAGTATGAGAAGGGTGGCGTAAGCAGATGCGTGCCTTTTGTCCTGCTAATAAAAACTTGGGTATAGCAATCCAAAGATTCTAGATTCAGTCACACGGGAATGTCTGTGATTGAGAAGATGGAAAAGCTCAGTACGGGCCTCGGGTTCTACTCTTGCATGCGCTGCGTGGGATCGTCACTCGGGGATAGTGAGATACTCCTGAATCCCTTGCCACCTGATACGGGGGTCTCGGCATGGCAGTGAAATCATCATAGGTTATTCTTGTCTGTTTCAAGCCACATAGACTGGAGAAGCATGGTATGCGAGCGCAAACAGCCGGGGCCTGCAGGCAGGCATCGTCTTCGAGAACGAAGAAGCATTAGCCGCAAAGACCCGCAGGCGCCCCAGGCCAGTTTAGAGATGTTTGTGATTGGAGGCGTTGCGCTGGATAGACGAAGGGGACGGACGAGCTGGGCATGAAGCGGTGGACACGCTGGCGAGTTCCTTTTCGAGTTCCACCAAGAGTAGTGCATACCAGATTGTGCGAGACCAAAAAGCAACGGGTGGCTCCTAGTGGGCGAGGGCCACGACCGCCGTGGCCATGACCGTCGCGTCTTCGCGAGGCTGGCTGTGACGTGCTTGGCTTTCGCGATGCTGTGAAGTCTCTGCGGAGGTCGCGACAGGTTAATAGGTACATATTGTGGCGTGCGTGGGAACACGAGACGGTCCGACGCGGAGATGGAAGGTGTCAAGAATGAGGTTTGACGCGTCGGTGGCCGGTTGGCTCCTGCTGGTTGAGGCAAGACGCGCGAAAACCAAGATGCGGGGCGCTTATGTAACGCGTCACGCGCTAGGCTGCAAAGAGGCTTGGTCTAGCTCCAAGCGCGATCGGATGCTCTTCTCCGCCTCAGCGCTGCCCCGGCGCGAGTTTCGCTGCCCGTACTTCAAGCCTCCCTACATTGGCATGCGTCTGCATACGGCACCCACGAGCTTGCCGCCAGCTGTCACCGGTCAGCTGCCCAACGGGGATCTCGCCTCACGCTGCCACGTTCAACAGTCTGCCACCATCAGCCTCAGTTCCCGAAGCTCCCGCCGCTTCCATGACACGGTGCCGCGACTACGACTCACGCTCCGCTGTCAGTTGCGCTACTGTATGGTTTTCTTTGTACGCCACCTTCCACTTTCTCATTTCCCATGTGTGCATATCGGGAACGGCTTTCGAACCCGCCGCCATCACGCTCCAAGAAGTCTCGCCTGCCGCTCCCGCGAAGCACGCCCTCAAGACCCACACTGTGATGGTGGGATGGATCCGTCTCTAAGGCGCACAGCACTTTCCAAGGTCCCGCTCCTGATAGTAAGACATTGTCCAGGTAGTCGACGTCGGATGACGATTACCCGGATCCTACCGCTGGTTACCAGGCAGCCGGTACTCCCACCCTAGGGCAGCTCAATCCTCATGTGCGGCTTCCCTGCAACTGATCATGCCTTTTCAGGACTGTCATCACACGTCGTACCATCTGTCGAAATGCCTTTGTGATCCGCGGATCTCGAGCACGTGAACAAACGCGCATCCACTGCATGCTGTCCCCACTATCCAACAGGCCTCGGCGAAACTCACCTGCCTAGCGGTCGTCAATTTGCTTGACAAGATCTCAGCCTCGTCGTATTCAGCTGCTATTGTGGGGTAGACAGCCGTCCAAGACATATGAACATGGCTGCAGGTACCCCAGAAATCTGATATTACCCGTACGAGCTGCGCAAGCCATGAACTTCACCTGTGGATACGCTTGCATTTCTAAGCTAGTAGTGGAATCTTCCGGTGCCCTTTGGAGTGTTGATCGCGAGCTGTACCGGCCGATCAAAACGTATGCGATCAGCGTTGCATCGATCATCACTCAAGTGCAATGAAGCTACCAAACAACATGGGGACCTATATCGGCACTGCCATGAACCTGGTGCCATTTTTGCGGTCACATCACACAAGCTCAGCCATCTGCCTTTCGCTCGTCGACACCAATCCCTTCAGCCTGTTTTCTTCACCTCCTCGGAAACCGATTGGGCTTTCCGCCGGCTTTCAAATCCGCAATCTTGACGAATCACTCGTCATAACAAAGAGGCTACTCCGTTATTCGGTCCACGAGGGATTAAGCTTCGCCTACGAACAGTCGATCACTGACAGATTTCATCGCGTCCTACTGTACCCATTTCAGGGCTTCGTTCTCGCGCCTGAAGTCTCCTAGGCTTCGCGATCGAGCTTGAAGTCTTCGTGTGAGCGACCATGAGCCTGTACATTGGCGGGTTGGCAAGTCTATAACAGTGTTTGGTACCGTAACCACCCCATGTCTCAGCACGTGAGCGTCTGTGTTTGAGGTGATCAACACCGTTTCCATCTGGATAATTGCCGCGTCACCAACCTAATTGTTGGATTGCACCATCCTTGATTGAGGGGTAATGCGAGATATCATCGCGGTCAGACCGGTCCGTGTTCACTATCACTCTCCTCACGGTGGCGGAGGTTTCGATCTTGGTCAATCAGACTGCACGAACGCGCTTTCATGCACAGGAAAATGTCTATGTGATGACGTGGGTTGCACCTGACTCCCGTACTTGAATTTATCCAGTACGCAGGTGCGCCTCGGACAGCCAGTGTTGTACATGACCCGGATACGAGGACCCAGGGATCAATGAGAGTGGACTGTTACATCACCTTTACACCTGGAGTAACGATGGCATTCTCGTCAAGGAATAGCTCCTCCGTCGTAAGCAATTCAGGCTACTTTGCACTTCACGATGACTAAAGGGCCGATGAACGGCCGTAAGCGATGTCTTCGCCTTTCTCGGAAGCCATATTTACTCGACCTTTGCATGTCCTATTTTGGCGCTCAACACAGCTAAAATAGGAAAAGACACCGCTGTCAAACGTTTTCAACACCCCTAGTTCAGAGCACGGTGAACCAACAGCAATGTCGCTGCGCTACCTGCTACGGCCTTTCGGGTGCGATCGTCGGCATGACAGCGCCGATCTCCAAGCCACAAGCCACAAAGCAGGCGCTACAGCGGTGCCAAGGTGACACCGTGGTAGAGTAATTAAGGTTAAGGATTCTCTTCCCGGGCCGCCGTCCACACTGTTTTGAACGCAGGGTGATGGGAGGGGCGCTTGTCGTTGCTGCTAATTCGGGTGGAACCCAGGGCTAATCCAAATCCAAACACCATGCGATACCCCTGTCCATTCAAACAGTGTACAACACGACGCATGCAACCTGCATGCACCAAATCCGTACCAGGTTATGAAATGCCAGTCACGCACTCTACTACCGGTATATTCTCCACCATCACTTTCCGGGTCTGCAAGCTATCTGCTTTAGTGCGAGATGACGATGATCTCAGCCAGCCAACTCAATCTCATGCCATCAAAATGGCGATTGAAAGCCGTGTTCAGCTCATAATTAATACGTAAGGCGCTACTAGTAGCTCTTGGGGATGAGAAAAGGTGTGTGTCTGTGTGGCATTGCGGAGCATTGGTCTGAAAAGATCTTCAAACATGCTACCGCCTTGTCCAAGCCGTCGCCGCGAGTAGTCAGAAACACTGACGCAGGGAAGCAAAGAAAAAATCACCCTGCCACCCGTCCACATGATCAACATAGGGACTGGAACTACTCAAGCGTTTGTGGGGTTCTCGGGGTTCTCGGGGTTCTCACAGTATCAAGAGTCCCTTCCCTATATGCTTCCCTCGATGCTCCATCTACATTGCTAAATAACGTCGACGAGTTGGTTCTCGCCCATAATGGCAACAAGTATGGATCGCAACTGCGCCTTGACGGACGACACCTTTGGTCCCTACGCCGGCGCTGAGTGCCGTGGCGGGTTCGACTTTACTCTCCTCTTTTCCGAGATCTTTCTCTCCATTATACCTTTGTCTTTGTTGATAGCTATTGTTCCCTTCAGGATCTACCAACTGTGGTGGAAGGAGACCAAGGTATCTAGGTCAACTCTATTATACACTAAGCTGGTATGTACTTCATCCCGAGCTTGACACTGAAGTGTCTAACAATTACACCACAGATAGCATGGGCCGTCTTCACTGGCTTCGAACTCGCCCTTCTCGTCGTTTGGTCGAACCGAACAGTCCGCAACAGTCGCGCTGAAATCCCTTCCGCTGCCATTAGCTTTGTCGGCGCATTGTTGCTGGGATGTCTTTCCTACGTGGAACATATGCGTACAATCCGCCCATCATTCCTCCTCACAGTATATCTCCTCTTCACAAGCATATTCGATATCGAACGTTCTCGCAGCTACGGACTCTCGCCAGAGCTCGAGCATGTTGCCACCGTCTTCGGACCACGTCTGGGGCTGAAGGTGTTCCTCGCTATAGTGGAAGCAAGAGACAAGCGCCGACACCTTCTGCCGGACTTCGCCAACAATCCCCCGGAGGCTACCAGTGGCATGTACAAGCGAGCGACTTTTTGGTGGCTGAACTCGCTGTTCAAAAAAGGATTCTCAACTACGTTGAGCATCGAAGACCTCTTTCAATTGGACAAACACCTACGAGCCGACTACTTGCATCATTTGCTTGGATCATCATGGGCAAGAGGTAGGTCATGATCACGTCTGAACATTTTTCGCTCACCCGCTAATGCCAGAGCTCATAGTCAAAAACATTGGTACCCACTCTCTCTTCGGAATGACACTGAGAAACCTGAAATGGTCTATATTGGCAGTCGTGCCACCCAGACTTTTCCTGATCGCCTTCAACTTTTGCCAACCCTTTTTGATCGAAAGGGCAGTC